TTCTTTGGTTCCTCTTGTCCTCCTTTACTGTTTTCTTTTGCATTGAATGAATATTTTCTAATGTAGTACTTAAATGTCATTAATGATTTTTTTTCACTATTTTTTCTTAGTGCTTATCTTCTTAGTGGTTGCTCTAGGGTACCATATACCTTTTAACTTATCAGAATCTATTACAGATTTATACTAGTTTAACTCCAATAATGTAAAGAAACATTACTCGTATATAACTCTATTGCCTTTCCCCCTTTTTTTGCAGCATTATGGTTATACATATCTATAACTGTTACAAACCCAACATTATAATTATTATTTTACCATCTGTCATCATTTCATTAGCCCATTACAGCTTTGCCCTCACCCACTTCCTTTGTGCTGTTATTAGAAAATATGTTACATATATATTACATTTCTGTATGTTATAGGCCCAACAATACATTATATACATATTATTCTATACACTTTCTTTTTGAATCAGTTTAAAGAAGGAGGAAAAACATGCATTTATAGCATCTTTTATGATGACATAATTACTTTTACTGGAGCTCTTTGTTTATGTAGATTTGCATTACTATCTGAAGTCACCTGCTTTCAGCCTGAAGAACTTCCTTTAGTATTTCTTGTTAGCCAGGTCTGCTAGCAACAAATTTTCTCACTTTTCGTTTATCTGGGAAAGTCTTTATTTTACCTTCATTTTTGAAGGATACCTTTGCTGGATATAAGATTTATGGTTGATAGGTTTTTTTCTTTGAGCACTTGAGTGTTATGCCTGCCTTCTGGCCTCTATGCTTCCTTCCGAGAAGTTAACTGTTGATGTCCTTGAGGTTCCCTTATAAATGATGCATCATTTTCACTTGCTACTTTTCAAGATTTTCTCTGTCTTTGATTTCGGCATTTTTACCATATGTCTGCAGGTCCCTTTGTGTTCATCCTGCTTGGAGTTTATTGAGTTTCACGGATGTTTTTCAATAAACTTGGAAAGTTTTCAGCCATTATTTGAGTACTTTCTTCTCCTCTCTCTCTCCTCTCCTTCTGGTACTCCCATTATGCATACATTGGTGCTCTTTATGGTGTTATCACATTTCTCTGGGGCTTTGTACATTTTTCTTCATTCTTTTTCTTCTCTGTTCTTTGGATAGCATGATCTCTACCAATCTATCTGAAAGTTCGCTGAATCTTTCCTCTGCCAGTTCAGATCTACTGCTGAGTCCATCCAGTGAATTTTTGTTATTATACTTTTTAACTCCATGAATTTAGGCCCTGTCGCTTGGAGCTGGAGGGGATAGGAAACAATGGCAGCATGTCCGTCCCAATGAGATACTGTACCCTTTCATTGGGAACTCAGGGAGGGAGCCCCATTTTCTTGGCTAAACCCACCTACCTTACAGCATCCGTCATCACACTGAGATGAGGAGGAGGGAGGGAGGAATGGGTTCCAGCTCAAGAGTCATACTCTTGCTGTTGTTGCCCAGATTTAGCAGCTTTTCTTGACTAAGCATCTCTTCATTTGCAGTGTGCCCTTAGGACTATTTCCAGAAACACTAAATGGTTTTTTGGAGAGGGGCAGTTGTCCATCTTTTGGGATTCTGTCCAGTTATAGGTGTTTTCTGAGGTCCCACACACTGCCATTCTGGAAGTGGACATCTAAAAGATGTTTTAGTGTTGAAAAACTTAACTGTGTACTCTCTGATGCTGAGAGAGAGACTTAAATGAGAAAAACTACACAATTAAGTCAACAGATGCAGAAAAAGCATTTAATAAAATTCAGCACTGGAGTAAGGACTGGAAAGAGCATTTCCTTAACTTGATAAAGACCATCTGCTGGAAAACAAGAGCAACTGCATATTTAATGGTAAAAGTTTAGAAATTTATTTTCAATGTCAGGAATAAGATAAAGGGGCCAACCTTTGTCATTTACATTTATTATCATATTGGAAATATATAAAGTATAAGTATTGGAATGAAAGAAATACAATTGTCATTATTTGCAGCTGACAGGCTTATTATATACAGGACAATTTATAGACTATTAGAATTAATAAGAGTTTGGCAAGATTGCTAGATACAAGACAAATATGTAAAAATCAACAGTACTCATAAAGTAGAAAGTGACTTTTTCTTTAAAAAGTATGTCATTTACTATAGCAACCCAAACTGTAGGATAATTAGAAATAAATATAAGATATGCATGACCTTATTATATAAGTGGAAAGCACAACAGAATTGTCTTTATAATAAATATGTATTATAAATGGAGTGATATGCCCTATTCATAGATGAGAAACTCAATATCATAAACAATTTTCCCCAAGCAATCTATACAGTCATTATAATTTTAAAGACAACAAGATCCAAATGTGACAAGCTGATCCCAAAATTTATATGGAACAAATGTTCAAGAACTAAGGCATTTTTAGAAGATGAGGGGTATCATTCTACCATATATAATAGCCAGTTATAAAGCTACGATAATTAAAACAGTGGGTTATTGGCAAATAAGTGGACCAATTTAACAGAATAGAGCCCAGAAAGTCCCATAATTACATGGAAATTGGATATAACAATAGAGGCGGCCTTACAAACCAGGAGGGAAAGGATGAACTATTTTTTTTTTTAAAGGTGCTAGGAAAAATAAGTATCGCTACATTTACAAGAGAATTTATGAGAGCGTAATCATGACTTTCAGCCAGCCCTGGTGGTCTAGTGGTTAAGATCTGGTGCTTCCACCACCACAGCCTGGGTTTCTTTCCTGGTGTGGGAGCCACACCACCCGTCAATCAGCTGTCATACTGTGGCGGCTGCATGTTGCTGTGATGCTGAAGCTATGCCATTGGTATTTCAAATACCAGCAGGGTCACCCATGGTGGACAGGTTTCAGTGGAGCTTCCAGAGATGGACTAGGAAGATGGACCTGGCCACCCACTTCGAAACATTCGGCCACCAAAACTCTATGAAGAGCAGCAGAGCATTGTCTGATATCACGCCAGAAGGTGAGAGACCAGCACAAAATGACCAGGCAGAGTTCCGCTCTGCCATACACTGGGTCACTAGGAGTCAGAATCGACTCAGTGGCACTAGCAACAAATCATGACTTCAGGTTAGGAAAAGGGCTCTCAAATAAGGAAACAAAACACGACAAGACTGCATTTGACTGTATTTTTTAAACTTCTGTATAATAAATGACATCCTAAACAAAGGAGATACATGGCTGTTCTAATCTTTTACATTTTTACGTAAAAGTAGAAAAACTCTCAACCAAAACTAAAAATCTCTGAAATACCTAGGAATAAGCCTAATATGGAGTGTGCAAAACCTTTACGAAGGAAGTTAAGAAAATTTTATCCAAGAATATAAAATATTTTAATTAATAAAATTAGGCCTATCATGATACTAATGGGAAAAATTATATTAATTATAAGGAAGCCTATTATCCTCAAATTAATGTATAAATTAACGCAATCCAAAACAAAAGAGCAACACAATTTTAGTGGAACTAAATAAACTGATTCTAAGACTCACTGATAACAGAAAATGCACAAGAATAAGACAATGACAAGGAGGGGAAAAAAAGGAGGGGGACTTGCCTTTTGGTCGCAAAACCAAAGGAAAGTGAAGAGTGTGGTTGGTGGGAGACACCTAAACCCACCGCCCAGAAATGGACAACTTAGCAGATGATAAACATGGCACTTCAAGTGGGTGGAGAAAAGATGGACTAATCGATAATCATTGGGATAAGTGTCTTTTCATTTTTGTTTTGGGAGGAACCCTAAAAGGTAAATAATCAATGATAAAAGTAGGCAAATATGACATGAACAGGCAACATACAACAGAGGATCAGCAAATGGCCAAAAAACATGGAAATGTTTTGTTTTCTAAGTAATCAGGGAAACTCAAGTTGAAACAAGATATTTTCAAACCACGAGACTGGTTAACAAACAAAACTTCCCGAGATTGGTACTACCTACTGTTGGCAAGGGTGTGGAGAAATGGGTCTGCTCATGGAGTGTAAATTGAAGGAAGCAGTTTCACTGTAACTGTTAAGATTAAAAATCTGCATAATTTTTTTTTCTTTTTTGGTGAGGAAGATTGGCCCTGAGCTAACACCCACAGCCAATCTTCCACTTTTTGCTTGAGCAAGATTGTCCCTGAGCTAACATCTGTGCCAACCCTCCTCTACTCTATATGTGGGATGCTGCCACAGCATGGCTTGATGAGTGGTATGGAGATCGGCACCTGGGATCTGAACCCTTGAACCCCAGGCCACCAAAGCAGAGCATGCAAACTTAACTACTACACAACCAGGCTGGCCCCAAAAATCTACCTAAGTTTTAATCCAGCAATTCCATGAAGGTATATCACAGGAATGACAAGGTGTCTTGCGTATGTTGATGGAAAGTTAGTTGCAAAAATAATGATTTAATCCCATTTATGTAAATCACATACATAAAACTAGCTGCTGTCATAGAGACACCAAAAGACAGTGTTTTAACCAAGTCAGAATTTATTTCACTCCTAAACAGGAAAAGGAAAGCAGTTCAGGACTGGCAGGGCAACGTCTCCATCCTCAACACGTGACTTCCATCGACCCCATGTCACTGCTTAAGCCCCAGAGGCATCTCAGCCAGCAAGATGGGAAGTCACAGGAGTGTGCACCCGATTCCTTATTGAAGGGCCTAGGCTGGAAGTTCTGCTCACAGCCCACTGACTGGTCACATGGCCACAATTAACTGTAAGGGAGGCTGGCAAGCAGAGTCTCTAGGTGGGCAGCCCGGTGTCCAGGTCAAACCCACGGAGCTCATCAGTGCAGGAAGCAGGGGAAAAGGACACGATAGTGGCGGCCTCTGCCAGACGTGTCTGTAAACGCAGGGAAAGCAGCTGGGAGAATACACACCAAACGCAGTGCCTACCTCTGGAACAGGAGCGAGAGGCGGCGGGCAGAGGACTGCCTGAAAACTCTTCAACAGCGATAGTGTATTCATGCATTAACTAAGGGACTTTAAAAATTTCACAAAATTTTAAAATCCTTTATTTGTAGCTTGAGACTGATACATGTTAAATACATTCAATCTATCTACATTGGACAAAGCTTTGAAAGTCCCCAAAACGAGATTTTATCTAAATGAGTAAGTTACTGTCTATCGTTTAAACCATCCCACTTAGAGCACCTCCCTCTATGTCTCTCCCCTGGGAGGCATGACGACAATGTCCACAGAAATCCACTCTGAGACCCGGGCAGGGCAGTGACCCGCCCAAGGACACAGCCTGCCGGTGGCAGAGCTGAGACAAGTGCTGGAGTGAGGACCACCTCGCTTGCCGCATCCTAACTTGGGCGGCATCTTCCACCTGCCCAGGAGGCTACGGCCGCTCTAGCTTTAGATTCCAGATGCTGCAGATGACGACGCCCAGACACTTCACACTCGTGACACACCTCAGCACTTCAATTCAAGAACAGGGGGATGCAATTTTATGATTAATGATTACAAAAGTAAAGAAAATAGTCTTTCCAGAGAGAAAACAGTCACGAACTTGGACTCCCTTCTGAGCCAAGTAACCAAGTTTAGGATTTAGTGACCTGTTGAAAATCCCTTCTATAACTTCTAGATGATGGCAGAATCAAGAAAATAATAGAATTTCTTCCTTTAATATATAATGAATGACTCTAAAAAACAGAAAAAAAAAAATGAACAAGCCAGAATCCTGAAAGAGGAGAAAATCCTGGTGGGGATCATGACTCCGACAACTCCTGTGTAAGCGGAGGGATTCTTGGCCCCAGTGCTCAACACAATTTCCAAATAGGAAAGTGAAACCCAGTGGTCCCACCACAGCCGCCTGCTGCCGCAGAGGCTCTCCCTGACCCCCAGCCACACCCCTGCTCTGGGCCGCAGGAGGAGCATTCAGGTCTGGACACAGCTGCTCGCTTTCAGCAGGACCAAGATGTAAGGAAATGGCATGAGAGGAAGGCAAGCATCAAACAGAAAAGCCAACAAGAGGAAAAACAGCAAACCAGAGAAGAGAAACCCAAGAAACGAACAAATGGCACGGTGAGAGCTCAAGTAGAAATGGAAGGAATAGAATGAATTTAAGAAAACAAGATTTCAGAGCTGAGATGACAAAATAACAACGAGAAGGGAACAAGAAAAACAAGCGGAGGACCAAAACATCACCATCACAGAACTATAAATCCATAAACAACAGCCAGAAACAAGAGATGCAGCTGCAAACCAAGCCTCTCAAACAGGAGAGACACTGAACGCACAGGAAAAAGAGATGAAAACGACTGGACGGAGACATAAGGGGAACGATGCTGCCTAGTATCAAGTACTCAGCGTCCTTGGAAAAGCAAACAATGAATAAAATAAAAAATGCTCAAAGCTACCTCCCAACATGCAAGCGGGTGGCTGCAGTGGTGGTCACCTTGCGGTAATGACGGTACATCCAGTTGTGGTTCTGGAGTGGCATTTGTGTGCATGTGTGTGTGCTGGTTGTTTTATTCGTACTCACTTTTGGTTCTGCTTGAGTTGTGTGTTTTTTTTTTAATATAATACATTCCACTTTCCTAAAACGAAGCAGTCACTGTAGGGAGGAAAAGATGCCCTTTGCTTAATGTAAAGCCTGTGAACTGAAGACAGTGCAGCTTTCTGCAAATAATGTCTTATCATCTATTTCCAAGCTATTGCATGCTTTACTAAGAAAACTACCTGCCAATCTAACAGTACCTTAAAAGGAAGATCACTTAAAGGCAATTAATATGATTCAAAGGATAACAAATCTGATCTTTTTGGGGTGACAAATGATAAATTCAAATGTTTAAAAGCTATGCACCAAAAATGATGCTGTTATCAGATATTGATGAACTAATTTATTGAACAGGCCTGACAGAATATCAGACACGTTTTTAGCACCAGTAAAAAGAATTCTTGAGATTTCTGGTCTATAAACTTCTAAATGAGCCGTCACATGCTCCCTGCCAGCATTTTTTGGGTAAAGAAGCAAAAGTGTTCCCAGAATTAACTGCTAGGCCCCTGATTTTAAAACATAATTCACAGTGCCAAAAAAGTTCACGTCAACCCAAGGATTTTTCAAACTTTCCCATTTCAGAGAAGAACTGCTTCTTCTGTAAAGTTTAGTTACGAGGTAGGAGCATTCAAAGCAAACACCAAACGCAGCCAACTTCTGTCGACAAACACATGATTATTAATCACAGGATTAATAATCAGAAATTTCTGTTAGAAAAAGTCAATTAAAAGTTTAGAAAGTAATGTTGATCAGCAGTATTCTGGCTTGAGTTTCCAGATTCCTTCGCCATTAGAAGTTCTATGGAAAGTGCACAGGTTTCTCAACAGTTCTCGAAAGACACAAGACTGTGACGCCGACAACTTGGACTCGAACTCCTGCAGGATCTCCCGCGTGCTGGCCTGGCCGTCCACACGGGCCTGGAAGGCAATGAAGTTCCTCATCTCCACCAGGAGGTCGTCGTGCTCTGTGGAGGAGGGCAGAGGGGCAGGCGGCTCGTGGGGGGGCACGGGTTCGCTTTCTAACCGCTCCGGCAAGATCAGGTGGTTTCTAGCTCTCATTTTAGCCAAGAGCGAGGATGAAGTGAGGGCGCCAGATGAAGACTCTGCATCTTCCACTTTTCCACTAAAATGCTCAGAAACACTATCTTTTCCATCCTTTTTCATGACGCCGTCCTGGAGAAAGAAAACCACTGCACTGATATATTTCACTTCCAGTTTATGCTTCCACTTATTTCTCCAAAGGCTGAGGGGCCATAAATAACCCCCATGCCCAGAGTAGTCAAGGTGATGGAGAAAGAATGAGATATGCCTAACCCAACGTGAAAGCAGGGGAGTCGAGCATGTAAATCCACCTGCTATTAAAGAACATTTCCTAAAAAAACCCCAAACTAGGCTGTTCACTGGTCCCCCTTCTGAGGGGAGAGCGGCGGGAGGACGCAGTGGCCGGGGGCTGGGCCCAGAGGAACTGTCTCCAGGAGGCGTGCATCCCGCGGGCTTCTCCTGTTCCCCCTCCCAGGTTCTCCCTGACCCGGGCACTGTGGGATGAGGAGCCGCATCACAGCTGTGCCTCCTCCTCCTCACTTCCAAATCCTTTTCTTACTTTACACCTCACGTGAGTCTCCTTAAAACAGCACCAGTCTCACCTGTCTTCACTCTCCTACAGCTAAAAGAACATGGGAAGTCAAACAAAGGTGCTCTACTCCTAGATGGGCTCCTACTAATCCATACCAGGAGCCTGTACCTGGAGTTTTCAAACTTCACTGTAACATCACCTTAACTGGGAACGACACAGAGGCCGGACTGATGGCGTGTGGCCTCCTGTTCACTCTCAGCGAGGCGCAGCAGGCGTCAGTCACAGAACACGGTGGGACGGGCACAACGCTCCCGCAGCGGGCAAATTGTGAGTAACACTCCAGGCAGTTTTCTAGAGCTCTGTTCTAGAGGGTACTGGTCTTCGGAGCTGGTACTTGGCCTCTGGTGGGCAGGCTGCAGGGGCAGCGACTCACACATCACCCTCCCTGTATGAACTCTCTGAGCAAACAGAACCTGCTACAGATCTCGGGTTAAAGACTGTGTCTTTTAGGAAGTTAGCCGGCCCTTTCAAACTCAAAAGGACGTGCTCCATAAATCTGAGCACACAGTAAAACTACCAAGCGTTAGTATGCCCGCGGTTTTCTTTGCATCTGGATTGGGTTAAACCTTCACGGCCATTCCATCGAGTCTCCCGCACGAGAAGCAGAGGGGCTATCCCATTACCTGGGCTTTCTCCTTCGGAGACGCTGAGGAAGGACGCTGCACAGAGAAGCTGGAATTCCTCTTCTGACCAAACCTGCTCCTGAGGAAGGAAAAGCAGCACAGCAGATGAAAGCTTTGCCTTCGTGCCTTAGAGAGGAAAACGCCCTTCCAACACCCAAACTCTTCCTAGAAAAGTCTCCTTCCGTTCTACGCCCTCCGATTCCTCCACTCCACCCTCCTGGGGAGTAAGTGCTGCATCTCCGGGAAGAACCACCAGCAGCCTCGTTCAACATCTGACGGAAACTACCCTCAGTTCTAGGCAGGAAACAATTCCAGAGGAGCATTCTAAACAGCATGGTAATCACTGATTGTTGAAAACTGGCTAATCATCTTACTAAAGTTTAATCGTTACTCTCTATTTTTAATGACATCATCTTTTAAACAAAACAGATCAGTTTTCCTTAGCTCTGCAAAGCAGGGGCAGAAGGCAAGGGAGGTTTAAGGTTACAAAGGTATCTCCTGTGTGTCCAAGTGAAACGTCTGGCTGACCATCCCTCCGTGAGACATTTTCGAGGACTGCAGAGAAGCAGGAGTAAGACTCCGTGCCGCCCTCCCTTGGCTCCGAGCCCGGGGGTCGGCGTCCTCACAAGCACGGCAGGGCGGCCCTCTTACTTTATCCCGGCCGGTGCCCCCGAGCTGCCCCTGTGGCCGGTCCAGGTGGGAGCGCCGGACGTGGCTCCCAGACACTGCTGCCGCGAGTGCCGCAGGGCTCTCAGGGCGTCCTGGGCCACTCGGTTGGCCTCGGCCTCCACTAGCACGTAATCTGGGCTGGCTCCATCCATGATGGCGTCGTGTTTCATGACACTGTGCACGCCAACTAGGAAGAACAAAGGAAGCAGGAAACGTGGTATTTTAGTGTGTACGATCATACTGTTCCTCCTGTGCAGTCTAGTGTGTTGTGGGTGGAGAAAAGACAATGAACACGTTCAGCTGCCATTTACTGAGTGGCCACCATGGCCCAGAACTACACAAACGCCACTGCTACTCTCCTTCGTCACTACCCTACGAGACCACAGGCATTCGGGTAATAATCACTGAAGCATAATGCTGTCACCACAACTTTGATGTAACCCCCATCGCTGCTATCTAGAAAATTTTAAAGCCTTCTATTAACAAATTCTCTATCGAAGGGAAAAATAAAAAAATATACACCAGAATCACAGAATTTCTAAAAAGTAATGATCATGAAAACACTACAAGTCAGAAGAATTTAATGCAGTTATCAGCGGAAAACTCATAGCCTTAAATACCGCCATCAATAAAAAAATAAACAAAAATAAATGAACTAAATTTCCAAGTCAAACAGATTTATAAAAACTAAGCACCCTCCAAAAACCATCACCAAAACATAACAAAAACAAAAGTACAGGGAAGAAAACAACAAAGATAATAGTAAAAATCAATGAGGTAGAGAACCAAGGATCTAATTCATAAATTAAAATCCTGGTTTATTGATAAAAAAAAATCACAAAACAGACAAACCACTAGCTTAATTTGATCAAAGAAAAAGGGAGAAAATATACAGAATTAGAAATGACAGGGGGAAATTATCTTGAAACACAAGTGAAATAAAAGAAAATATTACTACGAGAGGACTTCCTATGCCTATATGCAAATAAATTTGAAAACCAGACCAAAAAAATAATTTCCTAGCAAAACAGCCCAGGAACTGTAGAAAGAAGAGAGAAAGTTCCACTGGGCTACCTGACAAAAAGTGTCAGGCCCAGATGTTTCTCTCTGCAGGGCCCCCGGTGAGGCTGCCTCCCTGAGCAGAAAACCACACACGGGGCCCTCGCACTGTGAATAGTGACCACTGAGGCCTGAGTGGACGCCACTCCAGGGATCACTGCGCTGGGCAGCACTGCCTGCCCCCAGGGGCCTGAGCAATTGTTGGGTCTGCTTTTCCCATTTTCCCCCGTACTGGCTATTAGCCTTCCTCCTTCCAGTGTGCCTGCCTCTCCGCACCATGATCTCTTACTTTAACGCCCTGTGGTTAGAAGTCAGATCAATAGGGCATGTAGAGAACTTTCCATGAACGTGCAGGTGGCACAAATCTACTTAAAGCACTGCAGCCCTCCTGTGTGGGTCTAAGTCAAGGACCAGTGATCTTGGAAGTTCCTAAATTCTGCTTGGTCTTCAGAAAAGAGAGGTGAAGATGGTTTTCAGAAACGTCAATACTTTTCAAATCTGAATTTTGGAAGGAAAACTACTCGCAGTGAGAGCCCCCATGGCAGCGTCAGTGACGGTCGCTCCGCCAGAGCTGGCCTAGCCCCTCTCTGTTCCCAGTGCACGCCGGGCAAATTTAGCAGAAGCACTACCTGATTTCCTGAAAAGCTTTTCCAGAACATAATCATCGTGGCCCCGCTCCTTGGGCTCGTGCTCATTCTCGCCGTCTTGCTTCCGGTACTGCCTTCTCTTCACCAGGTGTGGGATCCGAGTGCCTTCAAACTTGGCGTCTCTGCGATGCTTCGAGCTCTTTGGCTCCTGCTTCGGCCTCCGGTGTTTCTCCAGGGTCCCTTCCTCTGCCGCACGGTGTTTCGTTTTTGCCTTGTGCTTACAGGAGTTATTTTCCATTTGGTCCCTCTCCCACAGGGGCTCTGTCTGAGCCTGGCAGCTTTCTCTTTTGTCAGGAAGACCCTGCTTTTCACCGACGCTTTCCTCACCAGATGTCCTGGACATTCTGCTGATTCTTGGAGACTCTGAACATTCCCCGTTTCCACTAACCACGGGTGACTCATCTCGTCCAGCCACTGCACCTGTGTCCTCTCCAAGGCTATCGCTGCTAGTGAGACCACGAGGCGGCTCGGGGACCTCCTTCAAGGGGTCGCCTTGATCAGAAGCAACTGCCTTCACATCAGCTCCTGCAGCTGCGGATTTCTCCTCAGAGGACGTGGCACCATTTGCAGACGTGCTAGAGGCAGTAAGCTTCCTGCTCATGGGAACGTTATGGTCTGTTCCAACAGCTGGCTCAAGCTGTCTCTTTAGACGGCGTTTGGGTGTCTGAACATCTGACCCAGTCCCTGGCAAGGGGAAGACAGGCTAACATTACACTGTGTCACTCTTTTGTAGTTCACCACTTTCGGTGAAATGACTTTAGCCAGTACCTGCGAAAATAGCGCTGGTCTCAGTGCTCTGGGATGCGTCAGGGCTGGTCAGGGTAAACAGCTCATAAAGATCATTGGACTTGAAAAACCGCCTTTGCTTTGGATCTTTTAGCACTCTATTTGTCAAAAACTGCTTGAAGATTTGTCTACAACGATAAAAGTTAAACTGGCATCAAACCATGTTCAGCTCTACCCCAAAATCCTAATTATAAAACAATCTGAAAGAGATATGATAACTGCAGCTGCACAGATGTCTAAATAATTCCCCAACTTTTAGCCTTGGAAAATTACAACTCAGGAAGCACACAAAACACCAGGTGGTCTCCATGTTTTACAGAATTTAAATTAGAAATAACAGCTTATTATTATTTATACCCAAGGAGCTTTTTCAGCCTCCAAGATTCATCACATTTCAAGAAACATCTTCTCACATACACTCATGTGACTCACAGCCCTTGTGAGCTGGAAGGAGCTGGCCTCCTGACTCCTGGACCAAGGATCCCTGCACTGCCCTACTCAGGACCCTCCTAGGATGGGGCTCAGGGAATCTTACCTGGGGCTTCGCAAAGTTTTCACCTGGAGCCACCTCCCCTCGCTCCCACCTGCTGATCCACGCTCCAGGCGAAAGCTCCACACCCCGTCACTCTTGCCCTGATACCTCCAGGAAGTCGTCCCGCCCCCTCCCAGGCGCTTATTCGTCAGGCTAAGACATGTATCTCTACGAGGAAGCGCCTCCCAGGACTCAACCGTCTCCAGCCCCCTCACAAGGGCCCTGAAGAACAGGACTGTTGCAGGAGTGGCGCGGTGCGTGGTGGAAAGCGGGGGCTCCCTTTAGGAGCTGGGGTGCGGCTCAAGAATGCAGTCCTCAGCAGGGGAGGGAGCAGTGGCACCAGCTCCACTCTACTGTTGCAGGAGTGGCGCGGTGTGTGGTGGAAAGCGGGGGCTCCCTTTAGGAGAATGCAGTCCTCAGCAGGGGAGGGGAGCAGTGGCACCATCTCCACTCTACTGTTGCAGTTACCCTCGCCTCAACCCCTCGTCACCGTAGAGAGACGGAGGAAGAAACAGGGGTCCTGGTCAACCTCTCTCTACGGGGCACGTGAGTCAAAGACCACCAGGACACCACACTGATCGGAGCTGCATGTGACTGTAACACCAGCATGCTGGCATTTCGACTGTCACCTCCTCAAGAAGCCCCCACTACAGCAGGCAGGAACATTCCCCTCAAATAGCAACTAATACACGGTCCACACATGAGCAGTCCTTGAAGTTTAATAAGCTAGGAAAACGATCAGGTTCAAAGACATTTTAAAAAAACTCACAATAAGCCACCTAAGCTTATTTTAGTGAGAAAAAAACATGAAAACAAAATTTTAAAATTCCAGATATTCCTCAAGTTATAGTGTCTATCGCTCTAAGATAAAAAGACCTTTTAAAGCAATACTTTAGAACAATGCCCTGCTCGAAGCCTGGAGGCGTCCTTCTCCATCCCGCACCGCCCGCGGCCAGGAGAGCAGCGCCAGGCAGGGCGCAGGCAGCCATCTGTACTGACCGGTGGTAAATCTTCTCTTCAATGGTGCCCGCAGTCAGAAGCCTGTACACCGTCACCTGCTTCTTCTGGCCTATCCTCCACGCTCGCTCCCGGGCCTGCGGCAGAGAGATGCTGCTCAACAAGGGCCTGCGCAGTGACAAGCACTGACTTAGGGGAAGAGAGAGGGCTGGTTGCTTCCTGCCACTCCTAAGGTTGGAATTCAGGCTAACCAGGCTAAATACACCTAAGGCCTATTACGGAAGATAACCAGGCAGGTGACAGAGACAGACCACGCCATCTCCACCTGAAAAACAATGTTTTGTAACTTCGCACAGTCTCTTTTCACCCCAGATCTAGCGATGGACACTACAGACAAACTGCTGAAGGCGCTTCCTGTCTGTGACGCTGGAGGGTGTCTTCCTCCACACTGAAGACGAGGCGGCAACCAAGATGGGAATTATATACCGGACCTAACACGAGGACCAAAGGGCCCTGCCAAGCGCTAGCCACTAAACTGTATGTCACCACCAACTCCTTTAAACAAACAAACAGACCTGTGTGTCTGTGCTTGGGTTCCAGTCGGGGTCATAGATGATGACTCTGTTGGCCCCCGTCAGGTTGACTCCTATGCCACCCACTCGAGTGGTCAGAAGAAACACAAATATGGACGTGTCCTAGGGGTAAGACACACAACACTTAGTACGCACACTGACAACTAGTCACGGCTCTTCACCCCTGCCTTTGCACATTCTACACATGGAAACGTGTTCCCAGTATAAGGAAGGGGTTATGTCCTAGAGACCTTTGTTTGGTCAAAATCCCATCTCACAGTTCCTGCTTTTAATATCAATTCTATTTACAATATTTAAAAGTTGAGTTGTCAAGAAGGAATACACATTCCTTGTTTAAACACATGCACACACCAATAACCCAGAAATGCAGAGTCAGAAGCAGAAAGCCCCCTCCCCACCCCCGCTGCCCAGTGCAGACGTCAGCAGGGCTCGGCAGGCAAGCACTGCCCCCTCCCCGCTGCAGACAGCAACACTACTTGACCTGACTGTTCCGTTCACTGGTTACCTCGTTGTATCTCGTAATCAGTGGTTGTCTTGAAGCTACTGTAGTGGTACCATCCATCTTGAGATAGGAATACTTTTGGGCTCTAAGAAATACTTCAAGTATGTCCAGCATCTGTTTGGGAGAGAGGGTGGAGGAAAAGAGTTTAAAACTCGAATATACACCTCCAAGGAGGGATTCTACAACTGTGTAAACAGAGTCACACATTCCCCAGCAGGCTTTAACTAAAAGGAGTTTCTTGCTTTGAAGGTAGATAAATATAACAACTACAGGAATATTTTTGGTATTTCCCTACTGTTAATTCTTGTAAGTTTTGTAAATAGCAGGGAATTTATTTGAATTCAGATCCAAACTCGCCTGCAGCCCAGAATCACATGGGAAGCCTTTTTAAAACGCCCGCCTCTGGCACCAATTCTAGAGGAAGGTCCAAGTTCCCAGGGAGATTTGCAGGCTGCCACCTCAGTATTTGCAGCCTGCTCTTGGATTATTTTAGATTATATCCCATTTTCTGAATTAACGTTTGTAAGTCACGAGGAACCAATGGTTTCTTGCGTGTGGTTTGCATACTCACCTGTCTCGACTGAGAAAACAGCAGTACTCGCTGACCCTGCTTATGCCATATTTTCAACAGGGACTCAACAACTATCATTTTCCCAGAACGTTTCCAGTATCCAAACTGATGTCCCTCTAGCTCCCCCTCCGGAGCGCCCCGGGGACCCCTGGGGCCTCCAGAAAAGAGGTCAGGGTGGTTGCAGATCTTCCTCAGGGCCACGAGCCCAGAGAAAACCTAGGGTAGAAGAGTTACGGAGACTCAGGATGGCCCATGGAAGACAATCTCCACTCGGGAAGGAAGGAAATCTAGGGTAGAGAAGAGTTACGCAGACTCAGGATGGCCCATGGAAGACAATCTCCACTCGGGAAGGAAGGAAAGGGGCTGTCGGATGCGTAACACAGACTAAACCATAATTCTTCACCACTTCTTAGTTTCCTCCCTAATAACAGCATACTAGGAGCTGGAAGAAATCAGCCTTCACTCATCTTTTCCTGACAGGACAAGCTCTCCAGAAACAAAAAAATTCTATCGGTCTGAACATGTCTACTGGGGTCATACTCAATTACTAATGATTTATTTCCCTCACTAGAAAAAAGGGGATGCAGTTCACAGTATATAAAAAACTGACTAATCTTTTAAATATAAATCAAAAAAGTCATGCCCACCCAACTTTGGAGAAATAAGTCATGTGCAAATGTAATTAATTAAATTCAAATTAAAAGCAAATGAATTTAAATATCACATTCCTAAGTACTTCACTAAAAGTTCTGTAGTTTAATCTGTGTCAGAGGTTGAAGTTCCATTTTCCTTTACATTAGTAAATAAGAAAGCGTATTGCATGGAAAATACACGAATGGGAAAGATCTGAAGGATGGGTCACACGGCAGAAGGGCTCGGGAGACCAGGAGGGAGGGCCTGCCCATCTCTGCCCAGCAACAGGGCATCCTTCACAGCTCTCAGAGGGTGACCGAATCGAGCTCACCAGTGCAAACGCTGAAGCAGAGAAAGAGGCATCATAAATTAAGCCAATAACCAGAGAGTGTGGTAGTTTTAACCAGTAAGCCCCAGCTAAACAAACAAGAGATCTGAACAGATCAGGAACTTTGTCAAAACTCCCCGAAGAGTCATCTGTGCCTCCTCCTTCTTCCCCAGACCTGAGCTGTACAACACAGCAGTCACACGCCACAGGCGGCTGCTGAGCACACGGCGTGTAGCTGGTCCGAACTGAGATGCGCTGCTCGTGTTAAATACCCAGTTATAAAGACTTAGTCCAAAAAAAAAAGAGAGTAAATTATTTCAGTAATCATTTCAAAATTTTGATTATATTTTTGTAAGATGTTTTGGATATATCAGGTTAAATAAACTATATTACCAGAATTGACTTCACCTATTTTTTTTTTTTTCCCTGTTCTAACGTGACTACTGGCTAACTGTCAATCACCCGTGTGGCCTGCGTTCTGGTTACGGAATAGTGCTGACCTAGACCAGAGATGGCTTCACAACTTGGAGGCCCATGAAGGTGAGTTAAGGGGAGATGTGGGAGACAGGAACAAATGCAAACGATGTAGAAACCTCTCTGAGATGCGAATGATACAAGAAATGAGAAGCTGCAAGAGATGGTTAAAAGAACTGAGTGACTTATTCTGAAAGAAAAAGCACGCAGCGTTAGGGAACACAGGCAGCCACGTCGCCCGCGTTCATCTCTTTATCTACCTCCGCGTCTAAGCTGGAAAGTGCATTTCGGAGTGTACTGGGCTACTCTGTGGTACCTCCAATGAGGATGGACTAAGGAAGTCTTATACGTCAAACAAATAAAACACAATTCACATTTTAAGATACTGAAGCACGAAGAAGTTGAATAGTTCACTGGAAATTTTAGACTAAATGCTGATTATAAACCTACTATACATGTTGACCAAACAGACATTTACCCACATATATTGCTGAGTATTGCCAATAACGGAAATGTTATTACGCACAGAAAAACCTGTGCTAATAATTCTTGCTCCACGGGCCTGTGAACCCAGCCGTTGGCTGCCTCCCTACATCCCACACCAGGCAGCAGGCCCTGCCCCGACCAGTGCAGATCCCGCCGTCTGGGCTTGTTCCTCCACTAAACCACGTGTGCTGGATTCAAGGGTAACCGTGCTCAGTGCAGGCAAATGGAGCGTGCTGAAATCTAACCTGTGTTCTTACTTCTGGAAGGGCTTCAAATTGCACCGAAATGTTTCTAAGAGGTAAGAGGGACTCCCTGACCAGCACTGGCTTCCTTTCCTGCCCTGCTTCCCTTGGTCCACAATTCATTTCTCCAGCTTCTAGTATTTAGCTGACCTGCATATCTCCATTGAGAATTCCGTAAACTTCTTTGGAATCAATGAAATTTTGGTAGACTTTATGCTGCTCATCTGTAAGACGGCAAAATAAGACCTATAAGAGAAAAAAAAGAGAGAAACCATAATTTCAAAAAAAAACCAGAATAAAATAATTAAAATATCAACGAAATTTCCTAATCAAAAAGCCACAGTGTATGCAGTTTTAATAACGTACCTCTTATTAAAAGAACAAAACAAAGCGACACCACATCTCAGAGCTGAGCAAAGAGCACAGTTGGCTCCTCTCTGCAGCCCCCTCCACTTCTGCCACCCATCCACCTCTCGGTGCCCATCCCACCATCCTGACGGAGCCTGAAGACTGGCTGCCTGCTCACAGGAAGTTCAGCGCAGACCTCCCCCACCCCACTCCCCTGGGTGCTCAGCCCGTCCCCCCTCCTGCGCCCCTCACCCACATTCCACGTCGGCAAACCTGCCCAGGGCTACCCTCCCCTGGCTAACCCCTTTCCTGGAGTTCCCAGTGCAGGTGCCCAAGTTCACCAGACAACAACCGCACCCCGCCCAGCCCAAATGCACCAAAGACTCCACGCCCTCACGTCTGCCAACTTTCTGACTCTCAGTCCCCTCTTCTCCACATCCACCGCTACCACCTCACGAGTGGACTTTATTCCTTGTCTAGTTATATTCCCAAGGTATTTTCCTTCAGCCACCCCTTTGCCAGCCACTGCCCCTGCCCTGTAAACTTCCAAAAGTACATTAGCTCAACCGCCTGCCTTCTCTCCTCCTCCGTGGTAAGGGCTGGGCGCTGCTGAAGACCGTCACCCACGCGGCCGGCATCTCACAGCTGCCGCTCCCGGTCTCCAGGGGCGTCTTCCATCACCCCTACTCAGCACTTTCTGCAAACCCAGAACGGCTGACAACACTCCTTACTTTCCCCAAGCCACCCACCCCCCCCACTTTGTCTCAACTTCTGCTCAAAAAGAATCAAACAGAAACAACACGACAAAAATAGAAACTAACCCTATCTGGCAGGATTCCCTAGTCTTCACTACCTAAACTCACCTAAGTTCTTCATCGGCCTCACCTTGCTTCCCTTTATTCTCAGAGGAACAGCTTCCTTTACGGGATCCAGGGCAACCCTTCCACTCTGTCCCAGATCTGAAAACCCACTCCTTCTCCTCAGGACACTGCTCCTCCCCTGAGGTTCTCCACAAGTCCAGGGGACACTCCCCGAGAGGATCACGGATGCTCACCATCTCCAGCCCTCGCCTTCCCAGCACTCCCACCCAGCACACGCCTGCAGGGCATTCCCACTGCTAGCACTGAGGCGATCCTGGAGGAGGTCACCAATGACTTCCTGGTTGCCAAACCCACCGGGTCCCCAGGGTCCCCATGATTCCATGTCCCCTAACCTGCCTCCTGCCTCTCTACCTAGGTCTTCCCAGCCAGCTGTCCTCTTCTACCCTCCCCTTAAATGGCGCAGTGCCCTGGGCCGCCCGGCTCTTCCCATGCTGCACAGGCTCCTTGGGCACACTCATCCCTGTTCACGCCTGAACACCTTCCCTGCTCAGGGGTCAGAGATGCAGCCCCACCTGGAAGGCTCCTCAGAGCTCAGACCCATCTCGAACTGCCTTGGGGCAAGCAGATTCTCACACGGGTGCTTCAAATACATCCTGAATGAAACATCAGCTGGCTCCTCCAGCTCTTTGTCCTCTCTGAGCCTCTGCGGCAGTAGATCCCAACATGGCAGCAAAGAACCTGGAAGTCGCTGGGCCCTCAAGCTCCTCCTGCCGGCCCCACCCTTGCCTCGGCTCAGGCCTGCATCTTCTCTCCTGCGGACTCTGAGGGACTGGGTACCTCGGCCCTTTGCCTCCATTTTCTTCCCCCTCCAGTGCTTTCATGTGCTGCCTGAGTAATCCTTCTAAAATATGAACCTGAGTGTTATAATGCTTAATTTCTCAAATTCATATTTCATTCCTTTAAACACAACCGCAGCAGAGAAAAGCCCTTCCTCTCAATCACAAAGCTACTTGAAGGAGCCATTCACAAGGTGCCCAGTGTCTGTGGATCGCTGTTTTAGGTGTCACACGGCACTTTAAGATGGGGAGACGAAGCCCCAAGTCAAGGAGTTCCAGCCCGGCAGAGCTCGCGGAGAGCCTAGTGGGACCTTAAAATGGAACTTCTGTGTCTGTGTGTGTGCTGGGGGGGGGTGGGGGGGGGGGGGGTGTGGAAAAACCCCAGGGGGAGAGAGCAGCCTGAGCGAATGGAAAGAAAAAGTAGTCCATGTTTGGGAGACAGGAAGTGATCTGCCTTGGCTACTGCAGGGCAGACCAGAAGAGAGCCTGGGACTCCACAGTGAAAACAAACTGGTGCAGATAACCTAATTCAGTACTCTGGGTGGGAGAGAGACATCAAAGGTATGTTGGTGGGAAGACAAGCCTTGGGAACATTAATCCAGCGACACTGAGCAATACTGAACGGGGCGGGGAATGCCAATGGTCAGACATCAACTGCACTGGTTTATGAGGATGGGAAGCAGAGAAGCGAGAGAACGAAAAAGGACAAATAAAACACCACAGCAACTGGCTGACTAGGAATCAGAGATGGCTCAGAGGACGGTGGCCTGAGTGGCCGCAGGAATGGGAGACCTGTGGGGAACGCAAGACCAAGCACTAATCTGGAGATGAGCTTCGGGTGAGGGAAGAGGCAGGGATGAAAGCAGCCTTGAGGACAATCTCCAAGATCCCTTAAGTTTTAAAAATCTACAAAGCATTTACTTTTAGATGCTAAATAGAAGGTGCAGCCATCTACTCTATGATAACACTAGATGGAATTCAAAAGGATGGTCCTTTTAAAACCCCAGTTGATGACGTCACTCCTTTGCTCAGGATCTTCCGGTGAATTTATTTCCTCCTCATGCACAGTAAAACCCTAGTCTCCACCACGACCAGCAGGAGCAGGCGATCTGGCGTCTCGGCAGCAACCTGACACCTTCCTGTGCTGGCTTTCCTCCTGGCTCCTGCCTGCGGCCCTGCGGGCCTCCTTGCCGGCCCCTGAATGTAAACACGCGCTCCCACGTTCTGTCGACCTGTTACACTCTGCCTCCAAAACCCCTAGGACTTGCTCCTTCACTTCTTCAGGCCTCTGCTCCAATGTCAGCGCCAGAGGCCTCCTCCGACCATCCTCATAGAAAGCCTGCTTCCCCAAATCCTGCCCTCAGCACTCCCTACCCCCTTACCCTGCTTCATTGTTTCTCCACACTGATGGCCGCGTGCCACGCGATGTATCTACTCATGACTGTCCCCCTCGAGAGCGGCTGTGAGTTCCATGAGAACAAGCCTCGACCTTGTGCACTGCTAACGCCCAGGACTGTGGTCGGCACCTAATAGGATTTGTAGCATGAATGAACTGGGGGCTCGAGGAAAACGGAAAAGTTTAAAGGAGTAGCTGCAGGGATCCATGTGTTAATAAGACAAAGCTCAAGCCTGTGGACCAGAGGAGGAGTCCCGCTGAGGGCAGATGCCACGGCAGGCTCACCTGTCACATACACGTGGATACAGACGTAGATCAGCCTGCCCCACAGCACCAGTGACCACACCTGTTGGCCTCACTGATCCTGCACGTGAAAAGCAGGCTGAGCGGACAGGTGCACCCATGCTTTAGGAAGGTCTTGGTAACTCCTGGATTTACAGACCTGTTCATTTTTATCCGGCAAAGAAAGGCTCATTTTGACGTCTGACTTCATTCTCCGCAGCAGGTATGGGTTTATGGTATCCCGTAAGACACATGCACACTTATAAGCAGTTTTAACCTTGAATAAGAGAAAAGGGGAAACAATTACTATTCTTTTGTTCTTACCTCTTGGTTGATTCCAATGCTTAAAATTTTTTTTTAAAAGAATGACCAGGGACCGGCCCACTGGCATAGTGGCTAAGTCTGCATACTCTGCTTTAGCGGCCCGAGGTTGGTGGGTTTGGATCCTGGGCTCAGACCCTACACACTGCTCAGCAAGCCACGCTGTCCCATATACAAAACAAAGGAAGACTGGCATGGATGTCAGCTCAGGGATAGTCTTCCCCAAGACGCAGGAGGAAAACTGGCAACAGATGTTGGCTCAGGGCCAATCTTCCTCACCAAAAAAACCCACACACACATAAACACACAAAAAAACAGTAAAAGAATGACCAACGGTGGTAGAAAACTGGTTGGAAAATTGTTTGGAAAAACTGGTATAAGTTCTATATACTCCAGGAGGTGGTAGCTTTCATAACATCATCAGAAAAAAACGTATTAACCAAAACGTCCAACAAAAGAGCAACTGGTACTTTGGTGCCCCATCCCTCTTCTGTGCTTTGCTTTAATTATTATATACAGTTAAACCCTAAAGTAGAGGTTTATTCGGTTCTTGTCCATCCTCTGGGGACAACTGCTTTCCAACACGTGTGTTTATAATCTTGTATTCTCCAAGAGCTACAAAGGACTGCGCCTCTGCAAGACGGCAGATCAAAAGGCAGCTCCACGGAGGGCTGCGGCCACGGGACAACCAGATCATAAGCAGATTACTGCCCACCGGAGAGTAAGGTCAGTACCGTGCAGAGTAAGCACTGCCCTCAGGGGAGTAAGTTCCAGAAGAACCCTCTGATCCCAGAAACCAAAGGTCACTCGGGCCTAAAAGGGAGCATCTGCTTCTGTAACGGAGCACGGCCACAGGAGATGGGCATTAACTGCACCGAGAAAACAAAGGCCAGCAGCCCAGGACGCCACTCCCTCTGCCGTTACCTCAAAGGCAAACAAAGATTTCAATAAATTATTGATACTTAAGAAAAAAGTCTAAATAGGCTTAACGACCTAGTAAATGACTATTTAATGGAACAAGAGGAATGCCAACCAAAGTTTAAATTTAAGAAAGTTAGCTGCAAAATGAATGATAAAAAGAGCTTGACCATAATAAATTCAGAAAAATTCATGTTAAAAGAAAATTAACACGGTAAAAAGGAAAACGTTTTAAAAGATCCGAAGAACGCCTCACTTGAGTATGTGTACACGTATGTGCAGGGACATGCGTTTATCTTGTGTGAGTATGAAAACAAAAAGACAGGCTTCACGTGGAACAGCAGACAGTAGCAAAGAGGCTCACTCAGCACCTTTTAGTTACAGGTGACTCCCGGAAACGTGTCATTCAGGCACTGATTAAAATTACCTTCAAGATGATGATCAGGTACACATTACGGTTTGTAATGTATGGATGATTAAATGTCAGAATTTAACGAGACATTACAATCCCACCAAGGAAGCAACCACACTATTTAAATTCTTCCTAAAAATACATACACTGTGTTAAGGAAACTGTCCCCACATCCTCGCCTCTACCCACATCTGTCTCCTGTAAAAGGGGTGAGCTGGCTGACGCTGGAAAGCCAGGGCTGGGCTGCTGAGTGGCCGGGCTGCTCTCTCCTGCCTGTGCACCCCTTTGGAGAGTTCGCCTTGCCCCCTCGCCCCGCCCCTGCTGCTGGCCCACTGTGGTGGCTCACAAGGGTCAGAGCTCAGAGTGGCTGCGGATGGGTCTGTCTTTCACATCCAGCTCTCCCCAGAGGAAGATCTTAAGTCTGGAGTGGGGACGGGGAGCAGGGAATACTAAGAAACCCTACTTTAGCCTTGATGTCGAGCCACATTCTCCAGTCCAACTTTCCTAGGAAATCCTGTGCTTCAGGCAATAAAGCTGATTCTCTATTTAATTCCCATCTGCCTTGCGTGTCTGTTTCTCTGAGTAAAAACACATGGTAGGGATTCAACTGTATTTCTCCAACTCTCACTCCCTACTCCCCAGTGCCACGGAAAATGGAAACCTAGCTGAGCACGTCCCTGCTTTCTTCCTACTCCTGACAAGGTACACTGATAATTACTCCCCAGTTCTGCCTCGTGCAGAGCTGAGGGGCCTTAGGCAAGCCGCCAAACCGCTGGGTCCCAATAACCTTGAGCATGAAATGAGGAAGTTCCACCAGATGACGCCTCAGGTTCTTTTCAGTTCAGAATTCCTTGCACAAGCTTTACGTACAAACCGAAGCAGCAGTCTGTACTGCTTGCACTTAATGTTCTCTCCCTCACCTTCCTCAGCCTTTTAGGTCCTAGCACAGTCAGCCCGTCCCCAGGAAGCCTCTGGGACCCCCACAAGCTCTGATATTGGATATGTCCCCTGATCACAGCCTCACTATCCCATACTGGGGTCATCTGTTTATTTTCCTCTCCCCGCTGCCCACCCACCCTGACTGGGAACACTTCCACAGGAAGGGCTGGTTGTCAGCCACCTCCCATCCTTTTAGCCCAGCCTGACACAATAAATATCTGCTGACAGAATATCTTCTTGCAAATCAATAGGGCTGGCAACCATGGACTTAAACAAAAAGGAGCAAATAAACAACACTTCTGCTCCCAAGGACCTTATAAGCTAAAAAGGGAAAAAACATTAAGTACACAGACTTTTGAAACCAGGACTTCAAGGAAGAAACAGGCCACATTTACATGGTCTCGAAGCTGCTCCCCACAAATGATTTACTAATTACAAGGCGAAGCAGTAACTTCAGAGAGTCTAGAAACCTGGCAAACACCCCCTCGTCATGTAATCAGACCACCACCAATGACCACCACTCATGAAGGGACACACGACAGTACGTGCCTCCAGATAGGAGGCACTGAGAAAGGCACATCACTGCTGTGATATTCTTGCCCAAACGCACACCCTGAGTCCAGTCACAAAGAAAGGAAGACAAACCCAAAGTGAGGTTACAAAATAACAGGCTTGTGGTCTTCCAAAACGGCAAGATCCTGGAAGGCAAAAGAAAGATCAGAGGAAGTGTTCCAGACTAACGGAGACTACAGAGACGTGGACACTACTGGAGCAACTGGCAAAATGTGAATGACGACAGATAACAGAACCGTATCAGTGTTAAATCTCCTCCAGATTTTGATGTTTAGACTACGGGTATGTGAGAAAATGTCCTTGTTCTTAGGAGATACATGCTGAAGGACCTGGAGGAAGGGGCGTCCTGTCTGCGCCTGGCTTTCAGATGGTTCAGAAAACAAGAGGATAAGTTTGCCTACATGGCGGGGGTGGGGAGGAAAGAGAAAGCAAATGTGGCAACTGTTAGGAAAACGCTAATAACTGGTGAGCCTGGGTGAAGAGTATATACGAGTTTTTTACAATTCTTGCAACTTTCTGTAAAGTTTGAAATTATTTCAAAACAAAAAGTTTAAAAAAAGAACAGTATAAATGAAGGACAACAGGGACTCAGTGGGGGAAGAGAGCCCCTACGAAAGTTAAAAATCACTCCATCTCTAAACGCAAAAGGCACTAACGTGCTTGCTGACGATCCTCTAATTCTAAACGTCTCAAATTCTTTTTCTAATTAAATATTTCAAACTTCTTTGGTGGAAGGCTTGTTTCCGGCTCAGCCACGACCTGGCAGGCACAGGCCTCTCTGAGGGCTGTGCAGAGCCCCTGCCCCCAAAATGCCACCAACTGCCCTCGGGTGGGCCTCCCCTCCCGTGTTCCTGTCTGGGACAAGCCCACTCCACCAGCCACCCAGACAAAAACCTCAGGGTCAGCGGCAGCAAGCTCCCACCCGCAACCTGACTTCCTTCATCTTCGCAGCCTCCACATCGTTGGTTCTGCCTGAAAACTGCCACTTGGGGCTCTTGCTCTCCACCTTCTTCTCAGAAGCAGCGCCCTGTCTGGGTCCAGGGCCTCCTCACCCTCACCCCCTGGGATTCCTGCAGCTCCCTCCATGCCAGCCTCCCTCCGTCCTGAGTTGCCCTCCAAGAAGAGCCCTCTTCCAGCCTTCTGCTCAGACACCTTCCGTGCTCTTCCTGCCCAGCACCTCGGCCTCCCTTTCAAGGGCCCAGTGTTCCCACATCCACACCTCCCTGCTACTCCCCCAGCATCTCTAGTCCAACCAAGCGTGTGTCTGCACTGCTGCGCACAGCAACCTGACAGGGCTCCGCCTGTACTGGTGCCCTCACCTAGAACGCCTCTACTCTCCTCGGCCTGTTTCCCAGAATCAGGCTAAGGGACAAGTGTCTCACAGTCTCCCCTGAGCGATTCTAGCCCCCTGGCTTCCCTTTTCTAAGCTTTCACTTTATAAGGTGCACTACCCTCACGTGCACTAGATTATATGCCACCAGAACTGATTCAATCTTGTTTCATAATTTCTGACTGCTCTTGAATATCTGACATGGTGTTTTAAAAACTCATCTGGAAAAACATGAGTGATCATGCAAAAATAATTTTGTGATTTCTATCAGACACTAATTTAATAAGCTTGGCCATTTCCCTTATAACCTGAATGACTTGCCTACAAAGTACAGTATTTAGTAGGAACACTTTAACTATTACCATGCCAGCAGGGTTAGCTGGCCGATATGTTACCTGCACCGGGGAGGCGTTTGCGTATCCCCCCATGGTGATGGGGACCGAGAACTGCTCCATGAACACGGGCAACGTGCCCAACTTTCCCGGGAAGATGAAGTCAAAGAGTGACCACAGCTCGCGGAGGTTATTTTGCATCGGTGAGCCAGACAAGATGATGCGGTGAGGGGTGCGGAACTATTTTGGGAAAGAAAATAGTTTGTTATTAAACTTGCCTTTTAACAGACAATCATCAACCCTAACCCAAAACACTGTCACGTAATCTTATTTAACACATTTACATATCACTTTGGTCTTCTCTGAATCACAGACATTTTATTAATTTTAATTCTTCAATTACATATAGGAAAACAAATTGGAAAGAATTTTTCTTATTGTTTGAGCTGAATATTATGGATAGAGCTGGATCTGGTTACAGTCTAACAACTCATCCCTACAAGAGACATTAAGCAATGTCAACAACTACAATTTTAAAAAGCATGATTAAGGGCAAGAATGAAGAATTTTCTGCATTAAGGCAAAACGTGTATTTCAAATTTCAAAGGCGTGTTACTAAAAGCAGAGAGTTTATTGTCAGTTAAATACAATTATCCACCTGGAAACCCCCATCGTTCTAAGAGGTCATACCTGTTTGCAGGCCAGGGTGACGGCAGCATTTGGGTTTCGAATTTTGTGTCCTTCGTCCAAGATCACGTAGTGCCAGTCATGCCTGCTAATATCATCTTGCATCAACCGAATGTAGGAGTAAGAAGTGATCAAAATTCCGTGACAGTGAGCAATATCTCGAATTAGTTTCTCCTAAAACGATGATAAAATGGTAAAGCCAGTTTTAAATAAGAAGTTAAAGTAAATGAGTATGACTCTTAAAATGACCACCTTGTAATCACGATGCAATCTAATGCACTTTATGAGCATGTAGTCAAACATAATACACACAATTGTAAATACACATTATCAGCACTGGAAGTTTACTTCATCCTTCATTAACCTGTAAGCAGTAAACACCAACCAACGTATCCACTATTAAGCGGTGAGGCCTCAAAAGAAGACCAGAAAAAGTTACAACACGTAAACACTTGGCCAATTTTTATTTTTCCAAAACATCCTTTGTGTCAATCCTTGTCAAAGTTAAAACAACAAGGTAGATGGAAAATGATTCATTATTTTAAAACCAAAGAAAGAAAATTAGGGAAAAGCCAAGGAGACAAGAAAGACAAACCCAGGAGCTCTAACGATGTACACCACGAATTCCAAGAGGATAGAGAAGAAAGGATATAAAGCAATGATTTTAAAAAATGATGGAGCAAAACATCCTAGAGTGTCAGGCAGAAACGTTGAGAAAAGACATACACCTGGGCATAGACCTACCAGATGTCTGAACTCCAAAAATAAAGAAAAATGAGAGAAAATGCTGTAGCTTCTAGTCAGAACAAAACAGAAAAAGAAAAGATTCCCTTCAGAGGGAAAGGACTCTACCTGCGTTGGACATGTTTTCTGCAACACCAAAAACGTCAGAAAGCACAGGGAAACTCTTTCCATAATTCCAGGGGGAAAGCAGTGACCCTGGATTTCTACATTGATCCAAACTAGCAGTCATGCTTGACAGAAAAAGTGAATAAACTCCACCTTCAGACAGGCTAGGGCAGAAATAAAGCAGCAAGAGACGGAATGGGTACAGCATGCTACATCCAGCCAGTGCAAGCACACAGCCACTAAAAGAGCATGGTCCCTTTCTAGGGCGGGAGACGGCCTGCTGGGGACGCTGTGCATCACAGACGGGGCGCGCCCAGCAGCTGGGAGAGGACAGAGGGTCCATTACCAATCCCACCTCACAGACGAGGATGCTGGTTCAGAGACAGTAAATAACATACCAGGCCACACAGCTGGTGAGCGGTGGAGTCAGGATCTGAACGTGGAAAGGCAGCCGCCTCCCAAGCTAGAATTAACTAGATATTAGGCAACACTGCCTCTTAATTTATTATACAAGAAAAATTACATGTAATATACATACCAGTTCTTAAAATAAATTATTAAAATGATAATTAAGCAAATATTAAAGCACTGTTTTAAATACTCATGAAACTGTTAAGAAAGGTAAAATATAAAAAGGGATATATTTTTAAGTGTTACTGTAATTCCGGTTTAGTTTAACAAAACCTAGAGTGAGAAGAGACGAAAACGAAAGTGCTCAAGAATCCCACCCCGTCCAAGGGTGGAAGGGGGCACAGGGGACAGCTACTCCCTAATGCTCAACCATGAGAGAAAAACAGGTTGAAACACATTTCTAAAAAATATACACCCATTTACTGATTGACAGTTGCTACTTCAGCATAAACAGTAGAAAAGAAACAGATTATAGAACTATCACAACCACTATGGGGGAGAAAAGTAACAGAAAAGAAAAAACAGGAAATACAATAAAGAAAATAAGAGCTGGTTTCAGAGTGACCATACCTGGGGTCTCCATATGACAGCGCGTTATCAGCAGTGAGACTTTCCACTGGGTAAGTGAGGCCAAAACCCAGCCTCGTGTTTCAAAGAGACCCAAACTAGACTGAGACTCACAGTTGAAAATATGGGAATTATCGGGGCTGGCCCCGTGGCCGAGTGGTTAAGTTCGCGCGCTCCGCTGCAGGCGGCCCAGTGTTTCGTTGGTTCGAATCCTGGGCGCGGACATGACACTGCTCATCAAACCACGCTGAGGCAGCGTCCCACATGCCACAGCTAGAAGGACCCACGTCGAAGAATATACAACTATGTACCGGGGGGCTTTGGGGAGAAAAAGGAAAAAATAAAATCTTAAAAAAAAAAAAAGAAAATATGGGAATTATCAAAGATAATGGAAATGTAAACAAAAACAGGGCAGGATTAGAAATGTAAATATCAGGGGCCACCTGGTGGTGTAGTGGTTAAGTTCAAACACACAGCTTCGGCAGCCCAGAGTTCACTGGTTCAAATCCAGGGCGCGATCTACACACTGCTCATCAAGCCATGCTGTGGTGGCATCCCACATACAAAATATAGAGGAAGACTGGCACAGATGTTAGCTTAGGGCCAATCTTCCTCATCAAAAAAAAAAAGAAATAAAGAAATATAAATATCAGACATAAAGAACTGAATAGAAAAATGAGGGATATTTGCATTTGAAAGGAGACAACATACTGAGAAAGAAGAGCCATGAACCTTACCCACCAAAAAGCAGTGCCACCAAACAGGAAGGCAAAGCGCTTCGAGCTGTGGTGACAAAGGGGTCCGTCCACAGCCTGCAGGGGACCTGACCACAGCCTCTCAGTTTGACAGATCAGAAGAGAGAAAGTAAGATTAAAGAAAACAAAACTTTAAAAATTAGGGTACAAAGAATCTGAGCATCACGTCTGCGAGCTCCTTTTAAAGCCGCAGCAGAGCTGTAGACACGTGAAGAATCCTCACTCTGCACCTTCTACTCAGAACAGCGGAACTCAAACTGAGCAGTGAACACCATCTGCTACAGGCAAGTGAAAGACTTAACAAGATACCAACTCTAGTGAATCTTAAAGAAAAAACCTGGCAGAATGGATAAAGTAAAAACTAAATAACTCGTTGAAAAGACCAAACAGAACAGACAAACCTCTGAAAAGTCAGCCCGAAGAACAGACTTGGACGCCAGCATGAGAAACGTCCAGAAGCGCGACCACAGACAAAGAGAATACAAAACCGTTAACCAAGGCTGCAGGCAATCTCACGCCAAACACACCTTCAGCGTGTGCCGGAGGAGGACGGCCACAAAAGGAAACTACCAAAATGGGTCCAAGAAAAATGAGACAAACTGATGAGACTAATACTGAAGAATCTGAAAGACGCTCTGCTCTTCTCACCACGCCCACCATACCCAAACTACTTTATGAGCGAAGCAGGAATCAACCTGTTATTCAAACTGTTCCCAAATAAAGAAAAGGACAGACTGCACTCCAAATCACTATTATAAGGCTTGTAGCAAAACCCTGTTTTCAAAACTGACAGACATAACAGACTAGAGATCCATTATTTATAAATAAATAAAGTCTAGCAATATATTAAACTAATAAGGCTTAGCACAGGAATGTAAGAATAACTAAATATTAGGAAACCTAACAATAATTCATGGAATCACAATCATCAAATTTTATAAAATTCAACATCTTCAAAAACGATATTATCTTAATAAAGTAGGATTCGAATATTTTTTAATTCAATGGCATATAAAAGAGTAGAAAAGGGCCAAGAAAATTCTGCGAGAGAAAATAAAGAGGAGGAAACTGTCTTCTTATATGCATAATACACTCAGAACTTCAAAATTAATAAAACTCTTTTAGAGAATAACTACACTAACTAGAATAACTACAATACCTAGTACCTATTAAAGGTTCGATTCTTATTTTTGCTGTATTATTACTATGACTACTATTTTGCCATCTAGGAAGTATTCCACAATTTTCATCGCCTGCACAACGCTACACTGAAGGCCACGCCTGATTTAACCATTTCCTGACTTTTTCTCTCATGATGAACGCAGCAGTAACATGTCAGGGCTGCAGCCTTACGAACACACGCACAGGTTCCCTCAGGACTCGCCCCCATCTGCTCCTCCACTGGCACCGGCCCCGCCGCAGCTGCTAGTGCCCAGCGAGGAAAGGCAGGCTGTCCAAAGACACACGGCTCCTCCTCGAGCGCCTCACCCTGAAGTCCCGCGACTTTCAGAAGCCAGAGTTGGTTTCAATAGTTCCTCCACACCTCCATTTTCCACCGAGACCCTGGGCAGGCAGCTCTCCTGACGCTACCCCATCAGCCCCCCCAGGAGAGCAGCGGCCGCTAGAAGGCATGGAGCAGGCAGCGCACGAGATGATGGCAAACACACACAGGAACACTCCATGCCCAGGGCACTCCAGGCACAGAGCCGTGTGTATGCGGAGAAAACGGACATGAAAACGACTCTAACTGTTTGGGGCTTGACATGCAGCAGAAGTTAAAATACCATTCACACTTACAAAATGCCCACTGGATCATAGCCAAACCCTGCAATGCAGGTCCACTTGCTCATGGAGCCTGGACCTGCTGAGCGCTGGATGCACACCCTCCCCACGGTCATTCCATGAACCGCCATGGAACACCACCTCCACCAGGATTCTGGGCATCACTTCACCACAGTTAAACAAACGCGATGCCAAGCCTCTCGCATACACACCACTGGAACCACAGTTAGCTTCTTCTGCATGTTTAAGGACCGAAGTTTATTTGGAAAATTCTGTAATGTTAGCTGTAGAAATACAGAATTTCTACTATATTCAGAAAGATGTATAATGCTGAATAAGAGCTAAGCCACTTTTATAAAAAGAGGAAGAAATGTTTTAAACGTCCTCATTGACAATACAACCTCCCCTTAACAGCCACTGGGTAAAAAACACATCCAAGACTATTTGTTTTCACCTGATTCCATCTCAGAATTCTATAACTGCCTAGACTGGAGTTTCAATAATGGTGAATTGTTGAATATTATGGACGTCTCTATCCAAACACTTAAGACAAATCATCTCGGGCGGTTTCAAATTAAAAGCTTGTAAAATATGTAACCTCTCCTAGTTTTTGCAATTAATAGGGTACATCTGCAATTAGCCTGACTTACTGAATGCAGTGCTGTTGTCATTAAAAGATGTCTGTGAAAGTGCTGCTGTTATTATGGGGGCTCAGGAGACCAATCCCTCCTAGAGGGCAAACAGTGGACTGGTGGAAAACAACAGCCATAAATCACGCTGTCAGGGAGCGGGCAGCGCGGAGAGCAGCGCAGGCACATGAAGGCCATTCACCGTAAACACAGCACGCAGCTTCCCAGCCAGGATTCACTGCACCTGTAATTAATTAAAACTTCCTTCAAGCTAAATCTTTAATAAACAAGGATTTGTGCTGACAATGAAGGAAAAAAGGGCTCCAGCAACACAATTTTACAATATACCTCACGGAACAAGCACGGCATCCATCATTGCTTGTATCAGGTGCACACACTGTCTCTGAAGTTAATGGGAATCATATCACTTTGTGTTATAATTTGTGTACCTGGAATGGGTCTGAAATATTTAGGATGCTTGAGGGACTATGTGGCCCTTTCTACTTTTATTTGGTATGTTTTTGCTCAACTCCCATCTAGCATTTTAAAAAGCTAAGTCTTTTTCACTCTAGCGTTTCAGAAAACAGGGCTTTCAAAGAACACGTGATGGTGGTCTCATCAGATGGCCAAGTGTTTGTGTGGTCTATTCTTCAATCACAATTTGCATATCCCAAAGATAATTTTAACATTCCATTTTACTATTTCCATTTGGGGCCAAACGTATCTGGACATAAGGAAAAGGTCTGGACATGACTGACCACGAACACTTTTGACAAAGCAGGTCGTGAACTTTCTATCCAGAGCATATTTATACTGAATCAGTCAGAAAATAAAGTTGCTTTTCTCAACTACTGAGATGAAGAGGTCTACAGTATTCTTTGTTTTTAATAGTAGAATTACCTGAATAAATGTTATATGCCAGGGACTACACTAAGCTTTTTGTACACACATATTAACCCTACAAATCCTCACAAAATTAGCAAAAAGTACCCATTTTACAAGGGATCAAAGTAGGCTTAGAGAAGCTAAGTGACTTGCACAAGGTCACAAAGTTATAAAATGGCAGAGTTAATTCTCAAACCCTGGTCTGGCCATCACAAAATCTATGCTTTTAGACCTTTATGTCAATGTTGTATTTCCCACTCTTAGGCCTCTAAATGCCATGACTGATCAAAATGAGATAAAATTCTCTGAATTATCTAAAATATTCCACACAATTACTATATCCTACATAGCAGAAAAAGGTGGGAGATATACAAAGTGGCAACCATTTCAGAATATAAGCAAGAAAGTTCTCTTTACACATCCCCAACAAACTGAAAAAAGGGTTGTTAATAATTAAATAAACTTTACAACACAGTGCTAAAGATGTCACCACCCACTGTGAGTTATGGGATAAGCATCACAAAACTGCCTCCTTTTATTCTCTTTTCATATATTTTCTTTCTTCAAGAAATGGTTAGCTTCTCAAGGTCAGTTAAAAACATCATATCCATTTTTTGGAGCCCTAACAGCATCAAACACCTGGAATATCGTGCTTATAATTGTTTAACAAATAAATATTAATCAACTCACATAAGTTTCTCTCTGTTAGAAAAAAGGGATCACAAAACATAATGAGAAAAAGAAAATCTTAGATTCCTATTAAATGAGATTTCAACTGACCATTGAAGGAGATTCAGAAGCCTCAAAATATCTTTATCTGATTTGATCATTTGGTTGAAAATATTAGCCACGTATTTTTTTGCATGGTTGCTGGGTGTATATTTGATAATTCTATATACCGTCAATCCAAGAGAATATTAACAAAGATAATATGGATGAAATGGTGAGAGAGGTGGGAAGCTAAAAGGCAATTTGGGGAAGAACGACAGATGTGCTCCATCAGAAATTCTTTGATCATTTGACATCTGCTCTCTAAACGAAAAACTTTCAAAATCTTACGTTGCACTAGCTACAACAAATCATTACAGAAATAAAGATAATCTGCTTGAATGATAAATAAAACAATTCTGGCATTATTGCTCTTTTAAGTTTTCTAAAGAGAAATTTTCCTCTCTTTCCCATTTTCTCCAGCACTGAGCGTCCCTATCCCAGAGCGCCACCATTGCTTTTAGGCAGGACAGCCGGTGAACAGAGAGAGCTGCCCCATGGCGGCAAGGGATCTCAGCTGGTAAGGATGGAAAGAGGTCAGACATCAGATGCTGGGTTAGCGGTGAGACCAGCACTGAGAGAGTATCTGAAATATGAATAAGAAACAAACTCCACAGCAACCTAACACACATGTGCAAGCCAACAGGTGTGTGTGGGGTGTTGACAAGGATCTGCACATACAAATAGAAAGGAAGGGGCAGAAAGGTCAAATGCCCCTTCAGTGTCTGAATCCAGAAGCCAGTTCTGATCTTGGAAGTGTTACTAACCAGGTGGGTGCAAAGGAATTAACACATTCTTAATGTGTTATCATCACAAATAATAAACTGATATTAACAATAATAAACTGTGTTTCTAAAGTGGGGAATATGGTTTCAAAGATGCAAAAGACTATGGTTTTGATGTTTTGCATAACAGCTTACCTCTTTAAACATTTGAGATAGTTTACAATGGAAAAGGAACCGGAGAAAGTTAAGGGTCAGAGTAAAAACACAAGTCTACCACTTTTCCTCAAAAGTTAGGTAAGAAACTTCAAGTTGAACTCCTTGGAAAACTGTAAAGCACTAAAAAACTTATGAACAATCATATGAATGCATGTGCCTGTGTGTGCAAAACAACCTCAGAAGGTAGAATCATTGTAAACAAAAGTGAAATATCTATTTTCTAAGGTTTTGCCCCCCAAATCAGAAAGCAGGTCTCATCAACAGAGACACTGACCAATGTCAATTCTATTTCCATTAATGAGTGAATGTATTCTATTTACATGAGCTAGTTCTTCGGGTTATAACAGAGGGAATGTGGGTAAGCCACGCTATAGCTGAAGACGTGAAACAGCTTCACCAGCCCAAAAGAAAATAAAATGATAAAGAACAACACACACAAAATTTGCCTTCTAATGACAAACATCAACCAGTGAACCCAACTACAGGATTTTGCTATACAAAACATTAAGAGATGTCAACAGAAGTGAAAAAAGGAATCAAAATGTTTTACAAGGGGGCCAGCCTGGTGGCGCAGTGGTTAAGTGCGCACGTTCTGCTTCAGTGGCCCGAGTTCACCAGTTTGGATCCTGGGTGTGGACATGGCACTGTGCTTGACAAGCCATGCTGTGGTGGGCGTCCCACATATAAAGAGGTGGAAGATGGGCACAGATAGCTCAGGGCCAGCCTTACTCAGCAAAAAGAGGAGGATTGGCAGCAGATGTTAGCTTAGGGCTAATCTTCCTCAAAAAAAAAAAAAACAGTTTTACAAGGATGATGACAGGAGAGTTACAACAATTTCCTTTGACTAGAAAAACAATCCAAGCTATTATTTTCATACTGCTAACATTCCCTTTTTTTCCTTTGACCATAGCATTTATCCTACTTCACTACTTATTTTAACTCAATTTGTTTTCCACTTAACATTTCAAATTAAGGGTAAAGTCAGCTGATTTAACAAGAGCTAGGAGAAACAGGATTCCATCTCACCAAACCAGAGCTGCCAAACTATAGCTACCCCTGACTCCCTTCCAGCAAAGTTCCAGTTACTCAGATCACACACACAGCGGGAATTCGGAAGAAAAGGGGTATGGGCAATACAGAGCCACTGCGGTTTAGCGGCTCGCCTGTGTCCAGCCCAGTGAGGGCTCCATCCAGCAGTTCTGGAGCAGCACTGCGTTCACGGGGGTGCACGAAAGCTCACTCAAGAGATCGGAAGACGCAGGAGAGAAAGAACACAGAACAAACCACCACTTCCTTCAACACAGCAGCCTGCAAACCCACCCTGGAAATGCCTAATTACTATTTACTCAGCAAATGCTTACGGTGACCATGAGTAAGACGCAGGCCCACTCTACGAAGCTTACAGTCCAGATGCTGAGACAGACAGAAAATGTAAAGAGCATAATACGACCTGGCTATGCCACCCACAGGACCACAGATAAACCTCCTTTCTGATAACGTGGCCAAAACTACAAATAAGTGAGGAAATACAACTTTCGAAATACAGTGATTACAGTTATAGAATGATCAAGGACTCACACAACAAAAAGCAACTTAACTGAAAGCAACAATACAAACTGTAAAACTCTCAAAACAGCAGGTTATTCTTTTGTTCATCAAAAGTATGTTTTAAAAGCATATTAACAAATGGGTTTACCAATTAAGAGTTATCATTTTACATTTTGTACCCACTTTCCTAAAACTGTTTAAAGCTGCTAATGCCCCAAATCCAGCCAGTCACCTGCTACGTACGCCCCTGATTTACAGCCCCGCTCACAGACTCAGGCTGTGGAGTCCTGTCTGCGCCCAGCTGCGTTTCACTGGACAACAAAGACATCTCAACACCACCAGAGTGTGAGCACGGTAAACCTACGTTCAGAATTGTTTTGAAACTACCGAGCTCCAAGTACATGAGTAACAATAAGTTTAATGCAGGAAAGAAACACAGGAACATACATTTCAGAAATACATGGACCAAAGAACAAACAAATATGTAATGTGGAAGGCTTTAAAACAAAACAAACAAAAGGTAGTGAGCCCTGTAACGTTACCTTTCTGTGGGTACAGGAGCCAGTCTCATGCAGAACTGCCACTCGGAAGGGAGGCCACCACGTGTGAAATTCCTTCACCCACTGGTGCATCACTGTCGTCGGACAGACAATGACAGTCGGACCCAACCCCTCAAACCTGCACCCAAAACATCCAAGAAGGAAACACAACCATGAGCGACAGCACATGGATCATCGACTGCCAAAAAACAAGAAACAAACAAAAATTTAACAGTTCCGAAAAGAAAATCCTAGCTATGGAAATTTATTGATATTTTCTTTAAAGAAAAAGCTAGTGGAGTTAAAACCCAGTAAGTGAAATCTGTACGATCCCATTTCTCAATTAGGGGATGCCAAGTACTAAGAGAAAACACCAGCTAATACAGTAAAAGACAGCATCCATAGCAAAGTAAAAGAAAAATCAAACAAGAATTATGCAACAAATACTTCTCTTTCCTCTTCTATTCCAGGTTAGTGAAGGTGTTACACAGTGCATCTTAACCTCAGTGAATGTAAGGGTATCCTAAATCCACCTGAAGCTTCAGAGCTCGGTAGTTTCAGAGTTTTCACCCACAGAATTTCAGTCAATCTCGGAGCCCTGGGAAGTGGGCAGGACAGACACCCTCTAGTGTTCGGGGGCCCTGAAGGCTGGCGTGACCAAGGCAACGTGGCTTCCAGGAGACGGAGCGATGCCTGAAGTCAGTCTTCTGCCAGCTGCAGCCCGCTCCTGCACCACGTCATGCTGCTCGATTCTCCAGGATATGAAAACCCGGCAGGGGAGCATCACAGCGACTGTTTCCACCAAGATGTCCCCACGGCACCAGCCGTCATCCTCCTCCCACCTTGCCTTCCTTCCACGTCTCCTAATCCAGTGGAGAGAACTGTCCCCGACTCTCCGGGTGCCCAAATTGGCAATCCAGGCCTCATCCCTGGTCTGTCCCTCTTGTTCTCCACTGTATCCAACCTACACTGAGTCCATGTCACACCTACCTCCTAAAGCCCTCCTGAAGTCACCCTGTCTCTCTGTCTAGACTGTCCATACTCCAGTTCTGGCCACTAGCATCTCTTACACGGGGAACTGCACTTTCTAGCATGACCATTTCAAAAAAGGAAAATCTGAATGCCTCATCCCTTTGCTTGAAAGTCCTAAAAGCCTTTTAATGTTTGCCCACTACTCGTGGGACAGTCTGAACACCTTAACCTGGCCTCTGAGACCACGAGGACTGACCTGTGCTGGCCTCTTCAGCCTCATCTCTCTCCCTGCCCAGACCCCAGCATTTGCTTCATGGCTCAGCACTCCATCTGCCAGCCCTGCCTGCAGTTCTCACAAAGGGCACGCTCCTCCAATCTCCCGACCTTTGCCTGTCCCTTCTTACCTTCTTATCCTAGCCACCGTCTATTGTCCTTCAGCCCTCAGCTTCTTCTAGTCTTCCCTGCCCTTTTCTCTCTAGTTGGGGTAAGGGCCCTTCCTTGGTGCATCCGCACTAGTTAGTGCCCTATACTAACCCTATCGTAACACGTATCACCCTTATTGTACTTGTGGGTTAGATGCTCCCTAAGCAACTTGAGGGTGTAGCGACAGCCTCTTCTTCAAATGATCTCAACGCCTAGACCACAGGAGGTAAGTAATGAATACTGGCTTTATTAAATGAAAACTTTTTTTTTTAAGTTGGAAGAAAATATATTGAAACGTTGAAAGATGATTTCTGAGTTGGGGAATCACAAGTCATTTTTATTTTGTTGGTACAGCTCAATAAAAGATTCCTGAACTTAAAATAATTTTCTTGTAAGTTACTCAGAGTAAATCACGCAGTGCTTGAAATATTAAAAATAATTTTCTGGAGCCGGCCCGGTGGCACAGCAGTTAAGTGTGCACGTTCCGCTTTGGCAGCCCGGGTTTGCCAGTTCAGATCCCGGGTGCGGACATGGCACCACTTGGCATGCCATGCTGTGGCAGTCATCCCATATATAAAGTAGAGGACGATGGGCACGGATGTTAGCTCAGGGCCAGTCTTCCTTGATGCGGGGTTGGTGAGCTGAGGAGTCGAAAGAAAGATTTCTTGGACTCTCAAGGTCTGGCAGTAGTGCTCTTTTATTTAGAGAAGAGTGTGGAATAGCATGGGGACAGGACCCAAGGGCAGTTAAGAGCTGCTGCTGCATGGGGACAGGACCCATGGGTAGTAAAGAGCTGCTGCTGCATGGGGACAGGACCCATGGGTAGTAAAGAGCTGCTGCTGCATGGGGACAGGACCCATGGGTAGTAAAGAGCTGCTGCTGCATGGGGACAGGACCCATGGGCAGGAGGAGATGCAGCTGAGGAGATGCTGCTGCCGCTGCTGCTGCAAACATGGGTTAAGAGTAGGGCTAAATTTAAGTCATAGGTATGTGAGTTATCTCTTTACAAGACAAAGGAAAGAATATGTAAAAAGAGTTATTAAAATGGTATCAGTGCCAGTGGGGTCTGGTTATTGGGTGGTCTTATAACTTTTAGATAAGAATCAAACCAGATTAAGTAAATGGCAGAAGCCACCGCTTAAATATTACCTTCAGCTAAAGACAAAGGAGGATGTTGGGGTGGGGGTCAGTTACAGGAGGTTGCCAGACAGTAAACAACTTAGGTCCTTGCCTTCCCCATTAAGAGTTTCTAGAGATAAGGTCATCCCTCCTTCTTCCTGGTGCAGAGAGGGAGACATCCCCCACAGATGGAGACTTCCTTCACAAATGCAAATGTCTCTCATCAAAGGGCAAGCAAATTCCACTCCTCAGAGCCTCCTTCTCATCTGCCGTTTTTAAAAGTAACCAGCCTAAAATAATCCTCATCATTCCTCAGCAAAAAGAGGGGGACTGGCAGCAGATGTTAGCTCAGGGCTGATCTTCCTCAAAAAAAAAAAAAATTTCTGCAGAACTGAAAAATACCTTATAGCTCTAACAGAACAGGCCATACTTAAATGAGGCTTAGCCTACACTCCAATGTGACACAGGCCTCTACTCACTTTAAACCCTCTCACCTCCAGCTACAGTCACTGCCCCACTGCTCCACAGAAAGCGCTCAGCTACAGAAGCCAGAGACTGCACGAGGCCCTGACACTTCTGCACAATTCCTAAGCCACACTCTGCTCCTCGTCAAGGCACATCCTGGGCAGGCCCCCCTCAAGCTCCCTGGGGAGGGCGTGAGTCTGCCCTGGCCCCTTCCATGACCATATTCCTTTCTAAAGGATTAAACGAGCCAGCTTCTTTCTATTCTCCAAGGACAAGAGTTATCATCAGTACACACTTAGTAGAGATTAGGAAAAAACCAATCAAAACCTGTCTAAAATATTTTTTAAAAACTCACTTTCAAATAAGCATAAATGTATACACAGGCTTTTTTAGGTTGTAACATGCTTTCCGTAAACTGCTACATTGATGACTCACACTTTGTCATTTAAGGCCAGTACTTTATCCTGGCTGAACGTCTGTCTGGCATCATTACGTCTTTAATTTCTACCGTTCTCCCTCTATTAGAAGACTATGGAGGTTTGCACGCTGAGTGGAAATCTAGGCGCAGACCCAGACTGTTCCTGAACCACAGAAGGGGCAATCAAATCCATTAACAGGCACATCAACTGAACCACCCTTTTCCAACCCTCAATACCGGTGAGATGAGCATAAGAAACGGCTAAATGTACTAGAGTGATTAGCATCAATTACCAAACTGGCTAGAATTCCTTTCATCTTTGATTATCATTGATTATCTAACGAATTTAGGACACGCCAATAGCTCCAAGGTCAAATATTTCAGCCTGCAGGATGGAGATCTGCTACTCATAGCTTAGAATGTACCAGAAATTACAAAGTAAAATATTTACCTTTGAAAGTTGATTAACTTTTCCAGGCCATTTATTGGTAATTAGGAATTTACTAAATGATATCCAAGACTTTAAAGTATTAACTGAAGTTTGAAAGGTAGATAATTTGTCTCCTCTCCATCACAAAATTCAGGGGGCCTACCATTATAACATGAATGGCAAAGTGAAGAGAAGGCAGTAGGTTACGAACTGGGAACACAACAGCCAATACAGTTTTATTAGCCACATGTAATATGCTTCTCCCTCTTTTAAAAACAAACACACATACAAAACACATTAAAAAAACAAAACCAAAAACAATTCTTTTAACCATGAAGTTTCTTCTTGGTACCCCAGAGACTTACACTGTTTCAATGATGATGGACCTTAAAAGTGCAACACTAAGACCATCTCAAATTAGCCTCAAATCTACAGCTTGCAAGAGTTCAGAGAAAATGTAAATAGCTAATGAAGCCACACCAGCTCATGCAGAACTTCATCTGACTATTCATCTGACTATTTTTCTTTAGGACACAAACATAGAGGAGAATTCCAAGTTCATTTAGTTTGAGGAGAGGACATATTATAAAATTGTTAGAAAAATGCTGAAAACAATTTGCTCTGGCACATGGATGTGGAGGGGACCAAGCTCCCCAGTACACCTCCATCCAGAAAGAGCCCAGTTGTTGGGCTGAAATATAACCGCATTCTAGGAAGCCACTTGTACCAATACTATTTTAATAAAGACGATCTGGGCTAGAGTCCAAGGTGCCACACTATTTCATTACGGAAAAGAGGATATGAGCATTGATAGCTAATTGATTACAGCTGCTGCTCATTATTAGCCCTGCCTTCACTCCTAGTAGGATTGTCTCCACTCGAGAGAGCACGTTTTAATTTTTAGATCAAAACTACACTGCAGGGATGACTTAGGTTTCTCAGGCCCAGAGTCGTAGACTCCACACAGGTTTCACGATAACAGGAAGGGAAGGGAAGAAAAGAGATGGGAAATAGGAAAATCCCAGAAATCATTTAAGAAAGTCCTAGAAACCATTTGGGGCAGCGTGGGGCATTCCAGTCATTAAAAAAAACCCAAGTAGAGTTATGGAGCCAAGCCAACCAAAAGGCTATTTAGAATAGGGCATTTTTAAAAACGCTAAGCTCATGACAGTCATAGAAAAGAAAACACTGAACACACATCTTCAACTTTGACTTTTCCCTTGGGCGGGAATATTTTGTGTATTTCTAGGCAAAACGTTAACAGACTTCTAACATTTGAAGAAAAACCTCTACAACAATACAACTTCCTTGTAAATAAAAACAACAAAACATTCAGTATTTAAAAATCTCCAAATGTTTTCTCCCCTTACTACATCTCTATAAACATTTCTAAAATATTCTAAAACTTCAAGTACTCCTCATGAGAAGTGTTGATCTGCTAAATTAATGAAAGAGTAAGGAATAAAAACAAAGCACGAAACTCCAAAGATTAAAAGAAAAAAGTTCTTTCCTCGATAGTTCCCGGTTTGTATCTGGCTCTCCACTGAACACTTCTCTGCGATGAACCAGAGGCCAGGACAGTAACTTTCTGCAGATGCTGACTTCAGGCTCACTGACACTTTTTAAAGGTGTCTCGGAATCGTCCCTAGTGATGCCTGAGGTTTCTACCACATAACCGTCTGGCAATTGTCTTGCTGTTCCTCATCAGATAAGCCTATTGGAATCAAGGAGTTCCTGGATTATCTGGTTCAAGATGAAATATCCCAGATAATTTACCTAGATTATTTTTACCAATACGGGCTTCCATAAAGCCAGTTCACAGCTTGAATATTGAGACGCTCACTGTATGTCAAGATCAAGTATTTCAGGCCTACTGGACTGAACTAGCACAGTTTAAATGCTTATTCTTTCAGAATACTAAAGCTTTAATAGTTTATTTAAATTCCTAAAGAAAATAAAGATTATAATCCTAACATAATTTTCTATCATTTTAGACAGTCACTTAGGTCCTGGCTTTAAAATTTACGTAAAATTCTTAAAGATGGGAGGGGGGTAGAAGGCATAGCGAGCAGACAAGTAACTTCGTTTGAAAAAAGCGCTGTCTATGAATGCTGTCACGCACACTGATTATAAAAGAAATTCAGGAGAACGGCTTCTCTAAAGCTCCAACTTTCCCCAGGAACAGACTTTGCACTTCCTGCAATGCTCACCTGGTCTCCTGCCAGAACAAACATTTTAATGTAAAATTTAATAAATGGAACTAAAGGTATTATGCCTAATTTAAAATTCCATATTGTGTAAACTATTGATATTAACATAATTGAGTTTGTAAACAATCCATTTGCAGAAGCTAACCTTAGACACTGTATTGACCCAAAATATCTAGTGGGGCTCATCTGCAAAATGAAGCATCAATGCCTGGAATTCATTAAAAGTGTTACATGTTTAATTTCTCCTGCCCTACAGCTCCATTGTCTCGTAAAAATTTTCCTTTGATGTCCCCCACTAAAAGAATTAAAGGAATATTGTAATTGAAATGTCATCAATAATTCACAAGACCCTCCTCCACAGCAATACATCTGATGAAATATTAATTGAGCTCCACAGACTGACAGTCTGCAGAGGAGCACTTGCCTGTAATTTGAACCACGAGTCCTGATCTTGCTGTAGCTCAGACCTGCCAAGAAGGCAATTATCTGGATGGTCTTACCCAATCCCATTTCGTCTCCCAGAATTCCTCCTGCCTGCTGGCAGTGCAATTCCCACAGCCACCTAACACCTGTCTGCTGGTACCTACAACAACAAACACCAACAAGAAAAAGAAAATGGCAAATGGTGGATAAAACAGATCATAACAGAAAGCACTCATGAATTAATCATTGGGCTAGGTTCTAGCACCAGTCAGAGAAACATGCCGGATGTGTGTTTTACATGAGTATTATATTTACAAGGTCATACATTTTTGATTACATCGGCATAAAATCACAAATTTTTCTTTACAGAACGTTAAAACATTTCTAATTAAACTGATAGATAGGGTAATTAGGGACTATTTCATTTCTTTTCCAACATTAGAAATAGTTTGGTAAACCAGCATGAATTTATTATCTTTTATTCAATATCCTTCTGGAAAAAAACTGAAATATTTTTAGTTATAGACTTCCAATAATTTTTCTATGAAAAAGAGGCATTAATATTTACTTGTTCAATCTGAACGGCATCAAAATACAGGAGAGAGAACACCACAATTTACAATATACATACTGTTGAAAAGTCACTTGGTAATCAAGTTATCTTTTAATAGAAAAAATTAAATTTTAAGTCCATAAACAAGTCTGAATAATAGGGCTGTTCACAAAATTAGTACTTAACAGATGATTCTGTCATATTACTAGCAAATGCAAAAAAAAAAGAACAGCTTAAAGAGTCAACAATACAAAAGGTCTTTTTTAATATTTTAAAGCAGAACTCGATTCAGGTACTTTATCATAGATACAAAAAGATCAGAGCTATTACAATAAGGAGTACTGGTCAAAGAGAAATAGTATATTCCCCTCTAAAAAAAAACGGAATTCGTATTTTCCTTTCTCCATCAATGGCATGTTTAATCTATAATCTAAAAACGAAGTTAAAGGAATAATGCAAAAAGCATTTCTGAGAGTGAAAGAAAGATTTAACATTATAGAATGGTATGAAGATTATTTGCCAAGTTAAAAAAAAAAGGCAAAAGCAAACAACACAAGTTAAAAGACAATGAAATCCAGGGGCCAGCCGGGTGGTGTAGTGGTCGAGTTTGCGCGCTCCACTTTGGCAGCTGGGGGTTGGTGGGTTCAGATCCCAGGCATGGACCTACACCACTTGTCAGCCATGCTGTGGTGGCGACCCACATATCAGGTGGAGGACTGGCACAGATGTTAGTTAGCTCAGGGTGACTCTCCCTCAAGCTTCCTCAAGCTACGTATTTCTACCTAAAATCTCATTATGGACTTCAGTCCCTGTTAAACTAGTTTTATTTAATCTCCTCTCAGTAAATATGTCAGAATTAACTTTCCCCCAGTATTTTGCAAATCAGTTCCAAAAGTTTGACTCTAGCCGTTGCCATTATTATCATATAAGGAAAACTCTGAATGAGAATTTTGCTGCTTGTTAAGTTTGCTAAATTAATTATAATTTACACACTGAATATGTACCCTGGAAAAGAGGATTAAAAATAAAAGCACAATGAAGTCTAGTGTGGATAAAAGATCATTTAATTTGGGAAGAAGGACTAGTTCTATTAACAGGTGGTATATAATCAGGGAATCATGGTACCACTTAAGGAGCCCACAGCTGGGGAGGCACCAGGGCAGGTGGTTTGGATTTAGCCTCAAAACCATCCTGCATGGAGATGGTCAACCCATTTTATAGTTAAGAAACAAAGGCAGAGAGAGGTTAAACAACTTGCCAAAGGTCACATTGCTAGAAAAAAATGAACAAGCCAGAATTGAAATCCAGAACCTCTGATTCCAAAGTGATTCCACCTTAGAGATAATTCTGACCAGTGGCTTTCAAAGAGGGGTTATTTTGTTCCCTAGGGGACGTTTGGCAATACCTAGGGACATTTTTGGTTGTCAGAAGTGGGAAAATCCAATTGTCATCTACTGAGTAGAGACCAAAGAAGCTGTTCAACATCCTACAACGCACAAGACAGTCCCTACAACAAAGAATTTTTCGGTCCAAAACATTACTTGTGCTGAAGATGAGAAAGCCAGCTCCAGGAGAAAGCTGGCTGTGAACAACCACCCTAGGGCAATCTCAGCTTTGGAAAAAGACGCACTCAGAAAAGTCTCCACAACACCAACGTCCAATCCGCCTCCAGAATCACTAAATTCTAGTCGCTCCGGAATCGCCCTCCCTTTACTGAGGGACAGAAGAACTAGGGGACCAGCTCCTTGGGCAGAGCAGGAACCAAAATCTGCCAGGGATCGTTCCAGTGCTTCCAATGCCTCTCTTTGTTTGGGGCCATTCAACTTAAAGTGGGAAGACTCTGGAGAGAAGCAATCAAGAAATAATGAAAGGAATAAGAAACTGTGACCAGCCTGGTATCCCAGAGGGAGCCTGGACATCTGGATTCTATGTGACCCAGGAGAGGCAGCAACAGTGCGCCGGGGGTTTCCTCATCTACACGTGTAATCTCCAAGGGCGTTCAAACAGCAGAGGATTGTGTTTCTACGAGGATGATTAACACCACAGAAATGACGTAAGGAAAAATATCTAACAGGCAGCTCCGTAAGTTACATCACTACATGGAAATCCCCAACAACTGGGGACCCTGTACAAAGACAGCAAAGAGCAGCTCTTTCTTTCTACAAAGGCCCCGGGACAGCACAGCACACTGGCTGCTGGGCACGTACTGCTGGATGGGAGTCAGGGCCTGGGGTCTGGTTCGGGCAGTGCCGCTGACTGACCCAGGTTTTGTTGCTTCACTTTCCTAATAATAAACCCTGTAAAACAACTGCACACTTTAAGTGAAAACGGGTTATAGAATTCAGTTTTCAGAACCTTTGAAAAGTACATAACAATTACTCTTTAGGGAAAGTCAAAGATTTTTACAAACTATTGTACAATAGTAAAGAAACTACTATACTCTGCCCCCCCTCCCCCTGCCCCCTCAAGACTGAAGCATCACAAATTAAGCACAGACAGTTGGTCTACCTTGGCATTGTCACGCTAACCTGAGACTGCATTGACTAGTGTGGCTGAAAGGAAGGTCAAAAGATGGAAGTTTGTCATTTGATTGCTAAATTATACAGACAAATGCATTTGCTGGGCAAACTTTCAAAACAGAATTTTAAAAGTTAAATATGATCTTGCAGAAAATAGCACTTAAACAGATAATTGTGCCTTCGGACTCCCTTGTGTACAACTATACCCCGTTAATTTAATTCCACAGAGTGCGGTAAATACCATAAATATCTATCTAGAGCTTAAAATTAAATTGGCCTGCTAAAATTAATCATAAAAGAAAAATGCAGGCCATCAATCTTACTACTTTTTTTTCATATAGCAAAAGAAAAGGAACAGAAGTTTTATAAGATTTATGAAATATTTCAAATTCTGTATTTGAGGGAGAAAAGATGAAAATAGCAAAATACTTTCCAGGAATATGTAATTAAGACAAATTTTTAAAAAACATGTATTTACACTAACTACAATGGGTTAACAGTCAATACAATGAATCCTGTATCCTCTTAGTAAGCAAAGTTTGGTTCTATTAACTGTGAAATTTGCTAAAAATCTGAAATTTATACAAAAATGCACATTCAACTTGATCCTTGAGGATATTTGCCATCTCACCTACTACACATGTACAAGTATCTTGTCTTTGTTAAGTCAATTTAATCTATAATTTGGATACTCCTTCTGCTAGTACAACACTGATACTATTTGCCCTGTTCCTTAAGAAGCAATCACTTTAGAGAAGATGCAAAGAGTTACCTATAGACGTTGTCTTTATTTACCTTCCCATAGTTAATTTTCATTTGGGAGAAGCCATAAACAAAGCAGCCACCTCTTCGGACTATAAAATGTCTAAAAAAATTACTAGACATTCAGATTTGAACTTCTTCACAGCTCTGCCCAGTTATGGCAATCTAACCAAGACACTTCAAGTCTTGAGGATTCAGCTTTCCTACATGTTTAGTGGGATAAAATAACTACTCTCCACCCTCTTTGTTCCCCTCATCCCCGAGAGAAAATTAAAACTATAATATACGCTCTTGGAGAGGAAATATAAAAAGCATGTTATTTTTATTTTTATTTGCTAAAGAAGATTTGCCCTGAGCTAACATCTGCACCAATCCTCCTCTATTTTTTTGTATGTGGGACACATCCACAGCACGGTCGGGGAGTGGAGTAGGTCTCTGCCCAGGATCCGAACCTGAGAAGCCAGGCAGCCAAAGCGGAGTGCACAGAACTTTAACCACTCAGCCATGGCATCAGGTGCCCCAAAAAAGCATGTGATTTGTAAAGAGACATCTTGCACAAGTTTAGGGCATGGCTGAAAGCTGAATCATGAAGGAGATTAAACATAACCATCTCAAAGAAAGAAGTGTGCATCCTGCGCCCAAGAACCAAGTGACGATCACAAGACAGAAAGAGGTATTCCACGGTCTAACTTCCTACATGATCCAGAAGGCCTCCTAAAGACCTTGTTAAAGGGAACCCGGCGAGTGATGAGACTGAAAACGTGCCTCAGTGCTTACACTCATCTTGGAGACTCGCCCAGGCCTCGGAGGCTACGGGCAGGCATCTATCATGCAGCCCCCGGCTGTCTGCGCCGTCTGTAACAGCGGCCACTTCCCACATGAAACACAGTTTCAAACAGCAACTTAATCCTAAAGGTGTTGGCCTATATTTCCTCTTTTGACATTAGAACAACATCTACATAAAATATTTAGATGCACATTTGGTCAGCTCAAAAGCATTATACCCTTAGGTACAATATAAGACACTCAGAAAATAATCTCAACAGTTTTTTATTTCTCATAGAAGTAAAAAACCTCCCCAACAGTGATTTTAATATACAACTCTTCTTACTTAATTAACCCAACTTAAGAAATTAGAAGTTTGGTCCCTTAAAATTACTAAGAACAAAAAAATAACTCAACGTAGATGACTTTTAAATGTGCTTTCAGTCTGCTGAGACAGGTCCATATAGATTCATCAATTTATAAACATACCCAACGCGCACTTTAGTCAATTTATTATCATCTAATTTTAATGAACAGCATGTGGCTAAAATTTCATTTGACAGTATCTATATTTTGCAATAAATTGTTTCAAGTACCTTAAGGGCCCACAGGTAACTACTGTGTAATTCCTAAAATATTAATTTGTACACAATGGCTTGATGACAGATAGAAAGGAAAGAACATATGGCACATACTTAAAAAGCTTTCTGAACAGAAAACCTGGCATTTTAAAACCTTCGTCAAATTCGGCATCACTTTCCTCAGAATCGTCTTCAAGCTTCAGACACTTCTCTTTGTTCTGCAGTCTCAGTTTATTCCATCTCCTACCACAAAAATAAAATCATATTTCCATTATTTTGGTTACAAGACAGATTAAAATAGATAGTTTTAGATAATGCACAGGAAAAACAGGCAAATGAGAATGGTCTTTTAGCTTTTTGCTGCCATCATTACCCAAAATGCCGATATTCAAAAGAGAAAAACAATTAATTCTCTTTTCCTTCCCTCTCAATTTAATTTTATTTGAATTATTATAGCTACTCTAGAAATATTTCTGTAAGGTCCCATTTCATTATCAAAACTACTTGCTCCTCTTCTGGCATACCCTAAGGGAAAATTTCTCTGCTAGTTCCTAAGATATATGAACTTAATTCCAGAAAAGATTTAGTGAAAATTTCAATATAACTACATATTCCAAAACGGCAATATAACAAAAAATAGATTTTATTTATAATTACTATTTCTGTGCTAAACATAGGAGAGTTGTAGCATAAAACAGCACAGTATCTTGAACATAAAGCAAGTTTTGGGTCAAAATTACTATATTTCAGATTCACATATTGATTACTCAATTGGAAGGGCATCAACAACATAAAAGTATTGATAATTATACCAGTGAGAAAAAAATGTGTTGACTAAATAAAATCTAAGTTATAAATTTAGTAACATGATGCTTTTTAGATGTAAAATAAGATGAACATTTATATTTTGGAAGGGTGCTACCAAGTATGTACAACAGAAGAAATGTCTGAAAATCAGAAAGCCTCAGCTGTACACCAAGACCGCTGGGAAGGGCAGCCATTGGTCAGACTCATTGTGTACCCATACAACTATAATGGACACTGGTGTCAAGAGTTAAAAAAAAGAAAAATAGAAAAGTCAACAGCCTCACATTCTATTAACTTTCAAAATAAAAGGCTGACCATTTTCAGTATGCATGCAACTGACAGTGAATTTCACAAAAGGGTGGAAACGAAATAAAGCAACAATACAGATAAATGTCTTCCAAGTAAAAAGCTCACAGGAAGGGAATGAGAACACAAGAGACGTAAGAAGGCATTTATCTGCCCCTGACCACGCAAGAGTAAAGAGCGTGTGACGAAGGGGAAGGGGAAAACGTGAGGATGAGACCGCACACACCGCCGGTTAGAGGAATGGCGTGTTTTCCAGCATCAACTACAGCAGAGACGCCAAAGAAGGAGTGACAGGCACCCCATCCAGGTAGCTGCCTGAGGACCTTAAAGCACATCTTCTGATAAATTCTTACCTTGTTGAAAATTTCACCCCTTCAAAGTAACAAAAAGAAGGGCTAGCTGAGGCTTAATTTGTGATCAATAAGGAAGAACTAGCTGGTGACTGAAACCGCTTCTCAGGGTACTAAGAGAACCTATCACTAAGCACTGTCGGTAATTTCTAGAGAAGAAAAGCAAATGGAAAAGGTGGTATATGGCCAAGTCTAAGAAAATAGCTATCATATAACCTTAAGGTTTAAGATGTGATAGTTTTATGTAAAAAATTTAATGACGGTTTTGCGCTTAACTTCCAAAGGCAATCTCTTCCTTTTATTTGTATTTTTCTTACTTAAAAATCATCTCTATGCAAATTGATTAAATAAAGTACCTCCAGGTGGCTATGCTACTCTTTGCCATTCTTCTGAGTTTCACATTATCCACAAATTTAATTAAGTGCAATGGTATACAGCAGTGGTCCTCAACCAGGGGCAATCTGGCCAGGCCCGTCCACCTCGTCTGCCCCCCAGCCCCGGGTAATCTGACAACATCTGGAGTCATATTTGGTTGTTACAACTGCTGGGGGAAGGGGAGACATGCTACCACCACCTAGGAGGTGGAGGCCAGGGATGCTGCTAAGCATCCTACAATGTGTAAGACAGCCCGCCACAACAGAATGCTATCTGGTCTCAATGGCAATAGTGTTAAGGCTGAGAAACCCTAGTATATAGGTATCCCTTATTACTGGAACTTAGAAACCAAAATGAGGCACATACATTTTCTAGCTGTATATATCTAAAGTCTTGCTACTATCTGAAATTTAGCAAGCAAGCAATTCCAGATCATATACCTCAGCATCTGAACTCTTACTATCAGAGCTCAGAACCAAATATCTGCATAACAAAAGATACTGGTATTCAGCAAATTTGTGGATAAAACAAAATTTGTGGAAAAAATCACAAAAACTATCACAGCCAGTTAAAAATACTCCATTTTGCAACTACTCAAAGATAATTTTACAGGAAGAAAAGGAAAAACACCAGAAGATACTGAAGTTTAGCACAACAAGGTCATTAAATGTTTTACTTACAGGAGTATCACACATTAAACTTCATTGATAGATGACAGCTATTTCCTTAGACTTAGCCTGTAAATCTTTGTGGCTGTTAAAATTCCCACCACATCACTCTGCATCAGTAGGGTTTCAGCTTCTTCCTTCCCCTTCCCTCCCTCCTAAACTATACAGCATCATGTCACCACAGAACACACAGCACCTAGGAAACCACACAAGCCACTACAGCAATGATTGCATTCCAGTGCCTTCCGCTTCGTAAAGAAGAATGAAAAGTCAGTTTGGCTAAAGGATGACTAAAGGTGGTGGGGAAAAATCATTATTGCCTGCAAGTATCTGTATCATTGTGAAGACAAATTGCCCCAGTAGAATCATATGCACATATTAAAGGCGGAAAATACCACAGTATAAAACCATACGCACACGTGGCTCAGGCAAAGAGATTCCTCTGTTACATAAAGCAGTAATTCCTCATGTGGCTTGTAGCCAGAACAGACCTGACCACCTCACCAGCGCTCACTGAGCAGGGCAGCACCGAGCGCTGGTCGACAGGACCAGGAGGTAGAGGACAGCCGGAGTCACCGGGATACTGAGAAAAGGAGAGGCCTTTCCCATCCTAGAGGCCCTCAGGGGTCTCAAAGTGGCTCTCTTTAGTGTGTGTAACCCGCCGTCCTGCAGCCTGGCAGGCGGAGCGACCTGTCCGACCAGCAGACGTAAAGGGGGATTCTGCACTATGAATAAACTGGGTGTAACGTGTGCAGCGAACATAGGACAAAACACCAAAGTGTGGACTTGAACGGTCTAGAATCAAATCCCAGCTGCCATTTACGAGCTCTTTAAGCCTCAGCAAGTAACTTAACGTCCTTAGCATCTAAGTGTCCTCATCTGTGAAAGGGGGAGACCACAGCATCCACTTCACTAGATTTGGGGAGGATTAAACGAGGTGTCACATGTAAGTGCTTATTAGCACAATCCTAGAATCTAGTAAGTGCTTAATGCATTAATATACTGCTACATACAATCGTATCTATTATTGAAATCCTCACACACCCTGAGGCAGGTACGATACTACGTTCATTACAGAAGAGGAAAAGTAACATTTAGTACAGGGCAATCCGGTGTGATAATGCAACGTGCCACAGTGTTTGACAGAACTGCCCGAACGCAGATATCTGAACAAAAACTACGACAATGTATCAAACGGATGCTCAGTAAATTATCATGAATAACGTGATCACATGAATAAAGACACCTAGCCATCAGGAGGTACCTGCTGGAATATCTCAATTTAAAAATTCTGTAACAGAGCGGCAAACAGTAAACTGTCATGAAATATGGCCATCTTTTAAATAACAAAAAAGATAGAGAATGACTTAAAATTGGTTGGGGGCAGGTAAAAATGAACATCGGGGCCCAAATGATCTGAAATCCTAAGAGTTAGAAATGGCTTCAAAATGTCGAAATTCTGTTATTTCAATAAAAAAGCTAGATAACCGATTTTAAAAGTGGAAGGAGGCAGGAAATAGTCCAATATTTACAATTATGGAAAAGAAAGAACTTTCTCATATTTTTATCCTCTCATTTTGAAAACTCCACACATGTAATAGTCACAGCTGCAGCCACATAAAAGCAAGCGGGCCTGGTGCTCGCTGGCAGTGTTGCTGGCTCCTCACATGGCGGCCACAGTCGGCCCACTGTCAGCTCCACTGGCAGCCACTTGGAAGAGAACCTCATAACAAATAGCAACTTCAACTCCAACCAGAGGCAGGCAGAGAACAGCTCCCTGGCTCCGCTCCATTCATGCAGGAATGAGAACCTGGCCCGGGCCGTGGAGCCCGGGGCTGCTGCTGCAATAATGATCCGTCAGAAGCAACACAGACCCAGGGCCAGATTGCCGGCAACACTGCACAGCACAACCAGTTGAACTGCACCAGGAATACCACTTCCTCCAGTTGTAACCTACTGGGGCACCTGGTCCATGGAACCCTAACAATACACCTGAGAGCTAGTTGCCGCCATTTAAGGTTAATCTGTTTCCAGCATGTCAAGGATGTTCAAAATACATACGCAGAAAAACACAGCAAGCTGCCATGGCACCACACCTTGTGGCCTCATCTCTGTGCATCTGCATCCCTCTACTGTCCCAACCTTCCTCCTCCCAGCACACACCCCCACACACCTGGGAGACCCTCCAGACCTCCACCAAGAAGGGCCTCCAGAGGAGGAAGCCTTCCCTGACCAGCCACAATTAGGCATCCTGGCCCCCCCATGGCACCCTGGGCACGCCTGGTGTCTCTACTAGCATGCTCGTCCAGTGTTAGCATCTTTCGAAATCTAGATCTGTCTCTCCCTTGGACTGGGAGCCCCTTGAGGTGAGAGGCTGTCTCAGCCATTTTTAATCTCTAGAGACGGGTATCACGTCCACCTCATCATGGATTCTCCATGCTGACGAATGAGGTTCAGAATCGGGCTGGGACAAGGAAGACACCAGGGACAGAAAGCACGGCTTGAAAATGGTCAGAGTGCATCATTCAGAAATGGGTTCAGGAAACCTCCTGTTCTCTCTCACTACAGGCTCCTCCTGTTGCATCTCCTACTCCATCTACACATATGCCGTCAAGGTGCGACACCGAGTGACCTCCACCGGATCAACATGGTTGAGGTCCACTACAAAGAACGAGCCGTGGCAAAGGGCAACTGCAAAGTCAGAGAAATTCTTAACTTAGAATTTTGCAAGGAGGAA